TATGTATGTCTCACGTTCATAAAAACATTAATGAGAATCAATTTTAAGTAGTTTGAAATTTATCCATAAAACTTTTTTTTCTCTCTCCTTTTCAAAAAAATCATTTTAACTTGATAATTAAATAATGAAATAATTACGTTTCAAATGTGTCTTAAACATTTTAATGTGTGCGTATAAGTGCGAGTAGTTGTGTGATTTTGCTGAAAATTAATCATAGAAAGCACGTGATGTTTTCGTAATTTTTATTTGAAAAGTGCGAACTATAAGAGCAATTACTAGACGTTGATGGAAAGGAAATGAGACTTATTTTTCCTTCAAAATTCATTAAAACAATTTCAACATTAACGCCAGCTATTGATAACAATTAACGCCAATTTAAATTAATTTCAAAGGAAAAAAATTCTTGATTATTGTATTAACGAAATAATTGGCTAGGAAAATACTTCGTCTAGAGCTTTAAGAATTTTTATTTTTTTCGAACAGAACTGCTAAGTTAGTCATCACTACCGTAGTGTAGTAAGAAATTTTCGAGAGCATAGGATTGTATTGACGGGTAAATTTTGAGCTGGGGATTTTAAGATATTTTCAAATTTGAGAAATTGTCTTTGTCAGTAGAGAAAAAAATTAACAAAATGATATGTAGGCAAGACAAGGTCCATAAACATCATATGAAATTTTATTAAAGAACTAACGGACGTGCAACATCCAACAGACTAATGTCAAAAACTATTGAATAAAATCACATTCAAGACTTTTTGCATCCACCACTAAAGCGTAAAATTATCAAATCCTACAATTTTATGTAAATTTTTGCAACATGTGATATAAACTTTTACTTATTTTTGCAACTATTGCATGCATTCTTGACATTTTAAAGAAAATCATATTCGATATTTTGGATTATATAACAAAACTATGAGTACAAAGAATAAATATGCTGGAAAAAACGTAAGTATATGTATGACAGCTCAATTTCCGATCATTTGAATTCAAACTTTTTTCCTTCTTTCAGAATTATATTGCTATCTATTTGTAATATTCTTAAGACATGCGAATATGTTTAAAATATTACATATATTTTTATTTTTAAAAAAAACATTGTTGAGGAAATGCAATAAAAAAAGTTTTATGGCTTATGTCTATCAAAAAATTGCATAAAGTCTGTAACATAACAAACAGGAATGATGTTGCTGCATAATGAAATGGAACACCAACAATCTATATTTGAATATGATAAAAAGAGATACAAAAAAGTCGTGTGCTAAAAGCATCAATTGTCATAAATTAACAAAGCAATTTCTTTTTGTGCCATCTTGCACTAAAATGCTGACACATGGACAAAATATTATGACCCTCACATTTTATGTTCGCAATTTAATTCAATTTGTATTCCAACTCGTGACTTCATTTGAATTTATGTGATTTCTTTTTGTAAAAAAAAATAAGAGAATGAAAAAAGAAATAAATGAAGCACCATTCGCTACCCAATTGCAAATTCTATTTAGTGAAAAAACGTTTTGAAATTGTAGATAATTAAAATCATAATTTCAAGTGAAACATTCTCGAGTAATTAAAATTTTAAGAAGTTTTTCAACAAAATTTTATGGATAATTTTAAACTAATAAAAAATTGACAATTTATTGATAACATCTGGAGTACATTAAAAATGATTACAGTAAATGTTAATGCTCATTTTCCTTTTTACTCCCTATCATTCTTCATAACGACGAAGAAAACGGAAAGAAAAATTTCTCGTTTCGTAAGACGGACATTTTATTATGTCTTATAACCTCATTTAATGTCTATGAGTCACACTCATACATAAGAATCATAGTCGATTTTAAATAAAAAAAAAATTATACATATATGGCATATTATGCATGAGCAGCTTTGTTGATGCAATCATAAGATTATGCCTTAACTTTATGACTCTCCTCTACTGTAGTCACCATACTTAAAAAAAAGAAGCAAAAAAAAAACGCAAATGTTTATAAACTCGATATATACTATAATATAATGAAAGCACAACAAAGTGCAATTAAAAGGCACTTTATGTGCGCGATTTTTTCCATATTCCTTGTTCGAAATCATGAACTCTATACATGCTTACTACTGTACATTCAATTAAAGATGCAATAGCGAAGAATGTCAAGAAGCTAATGTTACGATAATCTACAGTGAAAACAAAATTAACCCAATCTTCGTTTGACCACCCTCATGCTTTCATTCCATCTATTCATTTTTATTGGCTCGGCTCAATATTCACTGTATATTGTACCCCTAATTCATTGACATTCGCAAATATCGTTTATAATTTTATGTCGTAGATTATATCATCAATATATATATAAAATATACAGCCATTGTCCCTTTTTCATATTCTCTGTTTGGCGAGCATTGATTGCTGGGGCATAATAATGTTATAGGCACACAGTATGCGGGCGAATAGCGGTCGCATGTCATATGCCTTCCATGTCATGCAACGAATATTAACTTTTTCACTTGTCAGTTTTGTTATCTAAATTATGAAATCTCGATTCCTTTTCTTTACCATTTTTTTTTTCTTTCTATGTTTTATTGTAATTTTTTGTCATTTTGCCTTTTCTTTATGGAATAATATTATAATAGTTATAGACTTGACAGTGGTATGGGAGTGAGAGTAAATAAGGATTATTTTTATGAGTCTATAGTAATGTCCAGAGCATTTTATTCAACGAACAGCTAAAAAGACAGTCAGTGTCCTAAAATCAAGCCATACGAATATCATTTGAAAGTATAATTGCGTGTCACTCAAAAAAAAATCCATGAATCATATTTTTAGATTGCTAATTTATGCACGGTTGTGCTGATAACGCTTATTTTAGTTAAAACAAGAAAAAAAGAAGGAACTACATTATGCATTTGATGTTGAAGAAAATAAAAATTAAGAGTCCACTTACACTGATTATTTTCTTGAAAAAATAATTGAAGCTCATAGCAATAAAATTAAAAAAAAATATCAAATCGATTATCGTATGAAGCGAGGCAATTAAAGCGTAACAAATAATGAAAGCTCAAAAAATATTTTCTCGGATATTTTATCGTATCACACAAAATGAACATTTACATGATTTAAGGCAAATATATACTGTCATGGATATGACTTTTAAACGAGAAAATCAATTAAATTTTAAAGCAAACAGTTCCAATGCATGAAGATTAAGGAAAATAAAATTTTAATTGCAAATTGATTTTTGCATCGATAGAACCAAATTTAATTAGATGCAGTGTGATGAAATTGTTTTATAAAAATTTATCATACTGCATATTTTGCAGAATAAGATATGAAAAGGTTTAAATAAATTTCCTGATGCAAAAGTAAAACTGAACATGAAAGAAGAATCATCAGGACATAAAATGTTTTCTATTTTACTAGCAAAATCACACACTCAACAATTTTGTAAGCTTAATTTTTTGATGTAGTACTTTCTATTGACCTCTTAAGGTCGACTTTTTTTTATAACTTGATTTTTTGACAAAAGAAACTTTTACCTATTCAGAGCAATTGTGATCTTAATGTAGGCTAAGGCCGTTTGCTGCTAATGAGAATTTATTGAGTTAGGATTCGCAAGACTGCTGCACTCAAACTTAGAACTACAGTTAACAGTGGGATCTGGAACCACTTCTTTGATGGTATTACTGTGTATAGCCTACAAACGCTGTGATTGTGCATACAAGATTCAATTGCTGTGTAGGAGTTGCACCAACAACCCACTTCAGATCACTAGATTTTATGACAGCTCAAACAACATTTAATGAAAAATTTTCCAACTAGATTTAAATGATTTAACCATCCTTAACATTTCATTTTTTTATAACTTAATAAACGAACTTTTACAAAGTAAACCATTTATTTTCCAGAAAAATTTATGAAATTTGATAAAGTTAAAATATTTCAGGGAATTTCGAAAATAAATGGAAGAAATTCAGCTATTTTATGGACGATCTTAAAATCGAAAATATTAAGCATTCCTTTTTTAAAAAAATATTTCAAATTTAAATCATCATTCTCGAGAAAAATCAAGGCGTGGAATTAGATAGAATAGAAAACTATCCCAAATATCCCAAATATCCCATATATCCCAAAAATATTCAAAATAATCCCTGAGCCTGTAAGCATTAGAATTGAGATATCCCATCATATCCTGAAATTACACGTCCAATACACTAAGGATACGTTGGGATATCTTTTTTATCATGCATACATGGTCAGGAATTTTTTGAATATTTTTGCGATATGTAGGATAAATTTGATATTTGGGATAGTTTCTACGCCTTGAGAAAAATAGGTAAGCTCTCTAAACCTCGTCAAATTAGACTACTGATTAATAATGAACACATACCTTTGCATCTTTCGGTTAATCACAATTATTGTCAACGTTTAATTAAGGATTCTTACAGTCAATTGTTTCTCAAAAATTCAAATTACAAAGATTACTTATTTAAATTTTTAAATTGATTTAAAAACGAAATCCATTTAAATCTATTACAAGCAACGATTAAACCAAAACTTCTTAATTACTATGTGGGTCCTACAAGACAGACATAAAATGAAATTTATATGTGACACCGATTATGATAAACAAAAGATAATTTGAATAGAATCACATCTCTTTGACAAACCAGATGATGATTTTGCTTCACATTCTCTCGAAATAATGCAAGAATAAAAAAATTATGAAATCGTCTTTTGTAGCTGGCATTCTTAAAAAAGTTGTCTGTTTTTATATGCCATAATTCATTATCTCGCTATAGATTCTTTCACAATTTCAATCGAGTTTAAGTACATAACATTGCTTTCACATCACACATATACTCATCAGAAAAGATCATTGAATTAAATTTTGAACCCGACATACAGCAACAAAAAAATTTGTAAGACAATCTTTTGTTTTAGAAAACAATTATACAAAAATAAACAGATAGGATATGACAACGATCATCATGCTCATTTTACTTACCTTGAGCAAACTTCCTTGCTTTTGATTTCGATCGCATTATACGGATTTATAAGATAGTACAATGAATATCTTCTCCTTTTTATGCAAGACTTCCTTATTGTTTATGTTTTTTTTCCTTTCCTTTTTTTATTTAATTAAATTAAACTTCCTTTGCATATTTATCACTTAAAAAATTAATTTTTTTTTTATTCCAGAACTAAACTATAATAAACTGTCATTCACAATCCATGTAAATAGCCTCAAATCTGATCATCGACTGACACTAAAGGCACAATACGAATATACAAATTCACTTTGTTCGCCCTTTCAAGTGTATGACAAATTTTTTTTTCTGTTTAGACTTGCCCTGGTGTTTTCTTAAAACGCGAAGCGACAACAGAAAAAAAAACGCGCGCGATACAAAGGCAAACACATCTTTCTGTTTATGTATAAAAGTTGAAACTATAAAAAAAACTAAAAGTGAGTAACAAAAAGAAAAAAAAAAAGATTTTGAGTAGATCGATAAGTAATGTACATTCATGTCTCTAACAACAACAACGTTCTGCATAATCCCCAGCAAGTAATATCCTTTAAAGTAGCCACCAAGTAGCTTGATTCAATTCTATACACACACAGTCAAAACATATCGTTCATAAAAAAGAATTATAAAAGATTTTTTGAATGTTTGTGTTAATGAGCATTATTAAGTTGAGCTTTATGGAAACAGAGTACTCAAATCAACATTAAATCATACACGATACTACTTCGATAAATCTATTGCGAAAAAAAGACTTAATAAAAGTATGCTACTACTGCCACTTCACAAATCCCTCTTTAATATTAAAAATAGTTCTCATACATGCAAAAACGGCTTCTCCTCCTTTCTTTAAGCAAGAAAGTAAAAAAAGATAAAAACTCAAGGTACACCAACTTTGCTTAAATTATCTGAACAGTATACTAAAGTCAAAAATATTCGTTGGAAAATTTTAAAAGTGAAAAAGGTTCTAAAATGGATGTAATTCTGAATGGTTTCTAGCTTATTTATGTAGAAAATGGGAATCATGCCTCGAAAATATCTTCCAAATGCTGTAAATCTTTTAAAATTACATTTATTTTACATTCTTTGATAGTAAGAGTACTTTTTGTCTGCAATCTTAGTGTGCTTCTCAGTATATTTAAACGAAGTTGGTGCACCTTGGAAAACTATGAAAGGCAAGTAAGAAACTGTTATTAGACACAAAGTACATTTGAAGAGATGTGATTTTGTACAGGGATAATTCTTTCATTGATTTAAGATTTATGTAAGTTTAAGACCAATTATAAGGAATACTTGAAATCATGCATGAAGTTATTATTAATTGGAAAGAGGAGTTTATTTAATTTTGTAGAATTCATTCTTAAGTTTTAAAGAATTTTGCGAATGGTAATAAAATCGGTGATTAAAATGCTGCATAGTATTTGACTTCTATAGAATGTAATATAATGTAGGGTTTTGCTTAGAGCAAAAGCAGCATTGCGATTGCTGATCTATTGTACCACTGCTGTTTGCTTCCTGTTGTTGAATAGAGGAACCACCACAAATTTCAAAGATTTCAAAATGTGCCATTCATCTTCCAACTATAGCCACAAGAAAAAAAACAGCATAAGGACAAATATACAGCAGTTCTCTCATTTTTCTATCAAACATGCTAAAAGTACGCATGTTAGTGGAAAAAAAATAATGCTTGATGGTTTGTTCCAAAAAGAAAGTGGTTTATGCTAATGTCAAAAACTGTTCATTGACTAGTTCCATAAATCTTTCGTTATATTTTTATCTATGACTTTTGCTGATTTCTTGATGATAATTTTCTGTTTTAAAAATTGTTGATTACATTTTTTTTCAACAATTCTATTTAATATTTTCTGGGCTTGGTATGGATCACGATGGATAAATTTTCAATGATCAATATTATGGAATTATTAGAAATTGATATCAAATTTTTTAAATTATTTCAAATGTTCATCTTTATTTTCAAATAAGTTTAAGATTTAATATAAAAAAGTGTTAGAAAATTTGGCTTATAAGCGCACTATGGGCCAGAAATGGAAAATTTTTCCAAAAATTATTTCTACAGCTTATATGATAGTCCTTATTCTGCCCTACATTTACGTTCTTAAAACTTTGCCCAAGTCGACAGCGTGTCCGAGATATGGCACTTCAAAGTTGGTCAGACGACCATTTTCACGTTACATTGAAAATGCTCTCACCAGTCACTGGATGGATGAATCTCCTTCAATTTTTTTTTGGTAATAGCTTTAAATAGTTCCTTCATTTTAAGGTATAAACAATTGCAAAAAACTTTGGAAAATTTTGTGAAAAACTTGATTTTTCTCAAAAACCACGTGTTCGTCATACTTCCGTTTGTGTAGGTCTTCACAAGCACAACCAAAGTTACTAATTTCTTTTTTATATTAAAGATTACATCAAAAGCTATAACTTTTGCATACATGTCGTATAATTTTAACAAAGTTTTGGTAGTGAAAAAAATTTTTTTTATAAAAAAAACACCAATTTTTTGACAAAAATCGCCGTAGTGCTCCAGGGATACCCATGGTAGTGGAATTTTATTTCACATTTAGAAAGCTCTCTGGATATGCTATCAATTAATGCAGTAAAATGAACAAGTGTTCTCTTGGCAAAGAGCACTTTTTTGACTCTGAAAGTCGTATGTCGAGCAAGGTCAAAAAAGAAAAATAATCATAAAAATTTCAGTTTTAAGTAAAATTTAATTTTTTTAAGTTAGATTGATAGATCTTTTTAAAACGCGTCTTTTGAGTATAAATATGTCATAGTTTTGTCAAGTTTCATGATCAGTTTTTTAAAAAAATAGTTTTTTTCAAAAAAAAACTTGAAAAATAAAGTATTTGACTTTAGAATTTCATAAAATGCATTCTTTTTAACATTTTTTTCACTATTTTGTCTAGTTTTGCTCCTCGTTTTTTCCTAAACATAAATCAATAAGAACTTAACATAATTGAAGCCATTTGGAGGTTAAATTGAGTTAAAAATCGTTTAAAATTTTTGTATTTCTTAAATAGTTCTTTACACAAGTATCTAAGATATAAAGTGTTGCATAGTTTTGAAAAGGTATTAAAATTTCCAATATGTTAACATGAAAATTTTAGGAAAATTTTCAAGTAATATAGTCAATTTGGGTAAAAAACGCATTTTATATATGCTAGTTTTTAATGTTTTTCGTTTTTCTCAGCAAAGACTTTATGAAAAACTCTCAAAGTTTGCACACTTATTTGTTATATAAATGTTAATGACTCGTATAAGTTTTGGAATTTTCTATTGAGTTTTTCATGAGTTCTCCAAATCTGAAATTTTCAATATTAAAAATCCTTTTTTCTCAATAATTCCGATTTTTTATTTATAAATAAATATCTTATTTTGTTTCATTTTTCAATATCTTTTCATTGATATGTAACAATCTACGAAAAAAATAAGACTAGCGAGAAATCAATAAAAAAAGTGTCAAAAATTTATGAAAATTCTACGCTATTTTAATTTTTTAGCATTTTCTGGTTAATTTTATTAAGTTTTGTAAGAGTGTTATACCTTTTTGCAAATTTATAGCTTAAGACTTTCATCTGCTTTCATCCATTAAAATTCGTATGAGTCAACGATAAGCACAACTGAAGTTAAATAAGCTTCACGTTGGCGCAACCAAAAATTTTGAATTTTTTAAAATCAAATTATTTAAAAGCTTTAAATTAAATCTTCAGGCTGCTATTAAATACATGAAACATTTATAACAAAACTAAATGAAAAAGTTTAATATTATAGCTCAAATAGCATTAAAATTAATATCTGGTTTTCTTCATATGGAACTGTCTTTTGTCGCCAACGTGAAGCTTATTTAACTTCAGTTGTGCTTATCGTTGACTCATACGAATTTTAATGGATGAAAGCAGATGAAAGTCTTAAGCTATAAATTTGCAAAAAGGTATAACACTCTTACAAAACTTAATAAAATTAACCAGAAAATGCTAAAAAATTAAAATAGCGTAGAATTTTCATAAATTTTTGACACTTTTTTTATTGATTTCTCGCTAGTCTTATTTTTTTCGTAGATTGTTACATATCAATGAAAAGATATTGAAAAATGAAACAAAATAAGATATTTATTTATAAATAAAAAATCGGAATTATTGAGAAAAAAGGATTTTTAATATTGAAAATTTCAGATTTGGAGAACTCATGAAAAACTCAATAGAAAATTCCAAAACTTATACGAGTCATTAACATTTATATAACAAATAAGTGTGCAAACTTTGAGAGTTTTTCATAAAGTCTTTGCTGAGAAAAACGAAAAACATTAAAAACTAGCATATATAAAATGCGTTTTTTACCCAAATTGACTATATTACTTGAAAATTTTCCTAAAATTTTCATGTTAACATATTGGCAACACTTTATATCTTAGATACTTGTGTAAAGAACTATTTAAGAAATACAAAAATTTTAAACGATTTTTAACTCAATTTAACCTCCAAATGGCTTCAATTATGTTAAGTTCTTATTGATTTATGTTTAGGAAAAAACGAGGAGCAAAACTAGACAAAATAGTGAAAAAAATGTTAAAAAGAATGCATTTTATGAAATTCTAAAGTCAAATACTTTATTTTTCAAGTTTTTTTTTGAAAAAAACTATTTTTTTAAAAAACTGATCATGAAACTTGACAAAACTATGACATATTTATACTCAAAAGACGCGTTTTAAAAAGATCTATCAATCTAACTTAAAAAAATTAAATTTTACTTAAAACTGAAATTTTTATGATTATTTTTCTTTTTTGACCTTGCTCGACATACGACTTTCAGAGTCAAAAAAGTGCTCTTTGCCAAGAGAACACTTGTTCATTTTACTGCATTAATTGATAGCATATCCAGAGAGCTTTCTAAATGTGAAATAAAATTCCACTACCATGGGTATCCCTGGAGCACTACAGCGATTTTTGTCAAAAAATTGGTGTTTTTTTTATAAAAAAAATTTTTTTCACTACCAAAACTTTGTTAAAATTATACGACATGTATGCAAAAGTTATAGCTTTTGATGTAATCTTTAATATAAAAAAGAAATTAGTAACTTTGGTTGTGCTTGTGAAGACCTACACAAACGGAAGTATGACGAACACGTGGTTTTTGAGAAAAATCAAGTTTTTCACAAAATTTTCCAAAGTTTTTTGCAATTGTTTATACCTTAAAATGAAGGAACTATTTAAAGCTATTACCAAAAAAAAATTGAAGGAGATTCATCCATCCAGTGACTGGTGAGAGCATTTTCAATGTAACGTGAAAATGGTCGTCTGACCAACTTTGAAGTGCCATATCTCGGACACGCTGTCGACTTGGGCAAAGTTTTAAGAACGTAAATGTAGGGCAGAATAAGGACTATCATATAAGCTGTAGAAATAATTTTTGGAAAAATTTTCCATTTCTGGCCCATAGTGAAGCGGGTCCAAAAACTAGTATCATTAATGTATACCATAGGCAAATGCGATTCATGTTTTATTGCATTTACTTTACTATCGCACTTTTCTATGTAAATGACACTTTTGTTCAATTCTAACAAATGCTCTAGTAGGACTCTTGGTTTCAAAAACTCATAAAACTTGTCGTCACTAAAAGAGACTTTTTGCTATGCGATATGGATATTATGAAACATGGTTTTTAACGAAACTGTTACATTGAATTGCAAGTGAGGATTATAATCATGTTCCTTAATCTATTACTAAGTTAAGACCGTCGGATAATACAGATTTTATTGTAATTTTACTCAGAATATAGAATAATTTAGAAACGATTTGGCAAGGTTGTAGACAACAATTGTTTTTAAGAACACGGAATTAAAATAAACTGTGATTCTTAGAATTTTTTGATAATTCCAATTTTAAAAAAGAAGAAAAAAATTAAAAAAAAATTCAAAAATTTATTTTTTTTTCTTGATAAGGCTTCATTATCAATATTAAGAAGAGCAAATGAGAATTTGTAAGCATTCTGACCCACTTCCAAAATTTTTATAAATTTACATTATGTACTTGAATATTTTAGTGCAATCAGACTGAGTTGAACAAAAGAACTTGAATAATTTAGCAAAAAAAGGGCAAATATAACCTTTTCATATCAAAATGTTCATGCACACTTAAAGCCAGGATCTCAATGGAGAAAAGAGCAGTCATATCTTATCAATTTTGTTTAAAGTGATGTGGAGTGGAAAAATATAACATTATCTATTGTACCTGCGCATGCTCAAATCATATCTTTATTATTAAAACCGCCCACTTTATATATGTAGTGATGCACACAGATACAGATGAGTGGGGAGCTCAGTTAAAATGATTTTTTTTTTTATTTTCAGGGGAACTTTATTATTATTTTTCTCTTCTTTCCATTTTCACACATTAACCACAGAAGCAAAGGAATAAAATCATAGATTGTATATAAAAGACATAAAATATGATATAATATTTTACATGTTCTTACATCCATTACAGTAAAGCTTCTTTATTGAAATGAAGAAGCTAAAAGTAAAATTTGCTTATTGTTTTCAGGCTGCTGGATCAATCTTGTGCAGTATTTTTGTTTTTGCATGGCTTTAAAAACTTAAATTTCAAGATAAAAAAAATTTCTTTGTAAAGATAAAATCAGACATGATTAGATTGAATTTTAATCCAACAGTTTCATATTGAATGAGTTTGCAGTAGCTAGCGACATCTATTAGACATTTTCTGATGTGTTTTCTTCGATATTTTGTACGAATCAGAATCTTATAAGAGTCTTTTGTTTATAAATATAAGAACATGAAAAATCGATATTTCCACAATCAAGCTTTAAAATTTTGAATGATTAATGAGCTTTAAGGAAAGTGAAATAGTTGAGGTCAAATAGGGATAGTAAATTTATTGAAGTTTCATTTAGAAATGTCCAAAAATATGCAGTTCCTTAAACGAAGTTTAAGAATTTAAAGAAAAATTCTAAATCAGCTGATTCTAAGTTATTATCATAATAATATTTAGCAATGTGATAGAGATAATAAAGTTTACGGAAATTTAATTGTATTTATTAATTAAAATATATTGCATTTATTAAAAATGAGTTCTTAACATTGTGCTTAATATTTTTAATTAATTTGTATTCGATTTAAGTAAGTTTTTAATCCTGATGATAAATTTTAATTAAATCATTTGAGACATACGACATTCTACACATACTGTAAAAATCAAGGTCATTAGTCAGTGATTAAGCAATACAGTTATTTTATCTTAAATAGATTATTTCGGTTCTTTTAAAGATATTTGTGGGAGGAACTTACTATTTTGTTTGAGATTAATTACTTAAGAGATAATATTTGTAAGTTCTTATTTAATAATTAGGTCTTTTGTTCTGTGCGATCTCATGCGAATTTTTTCGTTGAAATCAAAGGCTATAGTTGTGAAATAGCAATATTTTTCAAAAAAAAAATAAAATGCCGGCATTCAAAACTGTTAGCAAATCTCTATGAAAAATGGAAATAAAGTATGTGTGTTCGTAAAATTGAAATTAATAACTAGACTTTTTGGCAAACTGACAGAGGATACGCTCAAATTCGTAAGGAGAATCGACTTGTTTATTAAGTGCGTCTCTTAGTCTTTTATGTATGTTGTTCAGATCTGGTCTATTTATAGAAATGTTTTTTTCGTATTGCCAAACAGTTCCAATTATACAACATAACTGAATAATTTTATGTCAATATTCAAACATTGTATGCAAATACATAATTTTAATCAATACATATAAGTGCGATTCCGCTATCTTTCTTATCGTGTTTTCTTTTGTTCTTCTTTGCTTTTATGATAGTGGAATTTTTATAAATTGAAGCATTTAAAGTAGTACAGACATAATTCGGGGAAAGAACTAAGTTGACGCTTTCACGAAAAATAAACTTAATTTTGTGCTGCAAAAAAATATTATTTTTCTTTTTTATCTCCAAAATCCAGTTTAGATTATTTTTATAGCATCAGTCTAAGAACCATAAAATTCTTACAGATTGATAATCATGATCGACGATAAAACGCCGATTACAATTCCATATGTTGTGAGCAGAAGTGTGGTAAAACAAGGAGATCTTGCAAAGTCTGCAGGATATGATAGGAATAAGTCTTTAGGTAAGAATCCTAGCTTACCCACCCCGTAGTTTTCTATTTAAATTTAAGCTCATATTTATGTCCAAAATTAGTTCAAAACTTTAAATCATCATTCGAAACATTCAGTTTGAAGAAAACCATAATTGAAACGTGCCCCGTCCTTGGATGGCTTCCTAAATATGAATTTCGAAAGAGCATAGCAGGAGATATTGTCGCCGGTTTTACTGTAGCAATTATGCATATACCACAGGGAATGGCTTATGGATTGCTCGCAGGACTAGATCCAGTTGTTGGCTTATACATGGCTTTCTTTCCAGCACTCATCTATTTCATCTTTGGCACGTCTCGACACATTAGTGTTGGAACTTTTGCTGTCGTGTCAATAATGACGTCAAAAATTGTAGCGACATATTCGGATCCTGATTTTGGAAATAATGAATCTCAACTAAACTCAACATTAGATTATGAAGACGAAGCAATAACAAAAAGCTATAGCAATTATCAAGTAGCAACTGCAGTAACAATGGTCTGTGGAATATTTCAAATTATTATGAGCTTTCTCAAATTGGGTGTATTGGCAACATTATTATCACAGTCTCTTGTTAGTGGATTTACAACTGCCGCAGGTAAAATTCTGATTGATAAAAAATAATGGAAAATTTATTTTAATTTTTTCCACAGCATTTCATGTCATAGTTGCTCAATCAAAAGATCTGTTCGGTATTCAAGTTCCAAGACATAAAGGAGCTTTTAAAATTATTTATACAATGCGTGATGTAATCATGAATATCCCAAACAGTAATCTTTACACTCTTTGTATATCAGTTGCTTGTGTATCGTTTATGATTCTCATGAATGAAGTTGTTCGGCCTCTAGCTGCAAAGAAGTGTAGTTTCCCACTTCCATCTGAGTTAATGGCAGTTATTGGATTTACAATAATTTCATTTGCATTGAATCTCGGAGGTCCAAATTGTAAGGTTATTGAAGTTGGAAAAATTCCAACTGGATTACCGGTGCCAATGATGCCACCAATTGAGCTTTTACAAACAGTTGCTGTCGACTCAATAGCTGTTTGCATTGTTAGTTATTCAATAATGATAAGTATGGCACTGATATTTGCTAAGAAGGATAGTTATGAAGTTCGTGCAAATCAAGAATTATTAGCCACAGGTTTTGCAAATATTGCTGGTTCATTCTTTTCGTGCATTCCATTGTCATGCTCATTATCTCGTTCAATCATTCAACACAAGACTGGTGGAAAAACTCAGGTTGCATCTGTAGTGTCTGCATTGTTGATTTTAATATGTAAGCTGCTTTTGCTTATAAGCTTTAATTTTGAACAATTTTTAAAACATTTTTTTCTTATTTTTAATCCACAGTAATTTTATGGATTGGACCCTTATTCGAAACTCTACCTCGGGCAACACTTGCTGGTATAATTATTGTTGCATTAAAAGGCATGGTATTTCAAATTAAAGACCTCAAAACTTTTTGGAATGAAAGTGCACTGGATGCAGCAGTATGGATTTTAACATTCCTGACTGTTGTAATTATAGACATTGATATTGGTCTCTTGGTTGGAATAATAGTGTCATTTTTTGTTTTATACAAAAAAGGATATAAAATTTATTCATGCATGCTTGGACAAGTACCAAATACGGATATTTATGTTGATCTTCAAACAAATGTTAACATTGCTGAATTGCCTAACATCAAAATATTCCGTTATTATGGATCTGTAAATTTTGCAACACGAAACAATTTTAAACAGGATCTTTATGATAATATTGGAGTTAATCAACGTACAATCAGGAGAGCGTCTATTTGTAAAGTCCCGGATGAAATAGTGAGGCTTAACAATGATATCAGAAAGTTAATAATCGATTTTAGTGCAATTTCTCACATTGACATGAGTGGATATAGAACACTTTTGGAAATTAAGAATGAAATGAAGCTGTTAAGTGTCTCCATCTATTTAGCTAATCCAAGTAGCTGTGTATATGACTTATTTGATAGAGCTCATAAGTTAAAGGAAGAATCTTTTGAATGTTTCCCAACAATTCATGATGCTGTTTTATACTCGAATGGGTTATAAAGAATTTTTAATGTGTAATATCGTAAATGTACGTACTTATTGGTGTACTTAGTTTAAAAATGAATCTTAAATGAAATAGAAGGACTTAAAATAAATTTTTATTCTTAAATATCAACATCATCATATTATGGATGGAATAAATCACTTTATAAAATTAGTGGAATAGCAACTTTGTTAATAAAGAATTTTTTTTCGAAATGAAAGAATTTTTAATTGTCGGTTCTCTTTATGATGATTTTTAGAGTCATCAAATTCATCTTTTTTAAAGGGTTTTTTTCAGATATTTCTAAGTATTTGAATCAAAAAAAAAATGAAAATTCTATTGTGTTCTGATATCAGTGATAAAGCACCACAATAATAATTATTGTTCTAGTCATTAAAAGACAAATTGCAAACTTTTTTTTAGTTTTTACAATGGAATTTTTATGTTGTTTGGTATCTTTTTACAATTTCACACCTTAAATATCAATCATTTACTGTCACAGCTGCCACGCTTCTTCATTGAGACTTTTTTTAAAACATCATAAGTTTCAACCACCTGACTTTTTTTTACTACAACTGCTAATTACTTATGATCAAATGTGAATGAACTGTAAACTCCAGAAAATTTATGACCTTTTGCGAGCTGAAATTGAAGTAGTATTGTTCTTGTTGGAATAAAAAAAATTCTCATTAAAATCTTACAGAACATGTGTCAGTCTCTCGTTTCACTTTCAAAGGTTTTTGAATTGTTATAGAGCACCGACTCTCTGTTATTTATCTATTTTCAGTGTATTAATATCAGCTGACTGCTCTCATGACGATGTTTTGACGAAAAAAAAAATCTCTGAAACAAAAATAGCATTTCAGAAATCATCCGCAATTCATTCACACAACATCGCTCAAGGAGAAATTTTCTGATCAGTACTAAGACGAGGAAATTTTTTTTTTAAATTAAACTTATCAATAAAATAATGCGAGAGTTCCTAATATCAAACTAGTAATAATTAAGTATAAGTTAATCACCCTACTAAGGATAATTAAAAAGTGTTCGTTGATCTATCTAATGAGTAAGTAATCTCGTGATTTTCCACATTGAACTTGATGATCATGAAAATTAAAAGTCAAGTTTCATAATCATTTAACGACGAGATCTAAATGTGTGTACATAAGAAGAAAAAAAGAAAATGTAAAAGAGATTACTAAAGTGAATCCAAAATATTGTCTCCCTTAACAATTAAAGCCTTGTGTGCAATTAAATAAATGAAAATAAACTGTATTCAGAATGAAAGTGAAAATACTTCAGAGATCAATTCAAGAATAAACAAATTTGCGTCAATTTGTTGATGTTTATATGTTTTTTTTTATTGGTGATAATTGGTTGATTTTGGAGTGTGTAAGATATCAATTCTCGCAAATTAATGTTTGAATTACGAAATTGAGAATTTGTGGAAAATAAGTATTTCACAAAAATGTATCAGAATTAATAATTGTTAACTTTTCTTGATTAAACTTTTGACTTCTTATTCCTTGCACGTTTAGATTTAAATTTACATAGAATTTTATTGGTAACGACAATCTTTGTATATTTAAGCACGCTTTAGTTAAATAATATGGTATTACTTTGTTTTTTACAATTCTTCAAATTATCTAAAAAATATTTTTCTTATAAACGCGTGTCATCTCAGTTAGCAATAAGAGCAGTTAACAACTGAAATCTTTCCTCTTAGAATACCTTGTATCTAAGGTATTTTAATTGCTAAGATAGAAACAGCGTGTAAATGCAACATTTTCAGACTAGTTCATTCAGTATTACTAAGTTTTATTTTTATCAATATTATTCCTACTCGTTGTTAAGTAATCAAATCGCATATAGTGTGTAAAAGAATTTACACTTATATTTTTATTTGAAAATTTTCTATAATTAGTCCTATTTGTCTGCACAACTTATCTTACTGAGTCAATGAAAAGAAAAACAATAAGATATTTCATATATAAAGCAAGTGTTTAGCAGAGATTGTATTATTCATATGAAAGTTCTTGAATTAAAAGCATCTCCAAAAAAAAAATATATAAAACTCGTCAATTTCAATTAAAGAAATTCAAGGCGAAAATTAATTAAAATTGTGGAAAAAAAATTATTACTACAGAAAAGTCATCATGCCATATAAAGCATCAAACATCAATATTATCGATGTTGAATTCGATAAACATAGATCATCGGATGGTGTTCCTTATTTAATAAACAGAAACGTGTTGAAGCAGGATGAGTTGGAGTTTATGGCTGGTTACGATCGCCAAAAAGATTCAGGTAAAGTAGAGTTAAAATATAAAAATGTTGACTCACTTATAAACGCGCCACTTGCATTGATAACAAATTGTATATCCTTATCTTTAAATTAAACATTTTCTCGTAACTACAGCATTGACATCTATCAAAGGAAATTTAAAAGAATTGAAACCAAAGAATATTTTGACTGACTTGTGTCCAATCTTGAAATGGCTTCCAGAGTATCCACTTAAAAAGAATTTGACAAATGATATAATTTCTGGATTGACTGTAGCTGTCATGCATATACCACAAGGAATGGCTTATGGATTGCTAGCTGGTGTCGATCCAATAGTTGGCCTCTACATGGCATTCTTTCCAACACTTATTTACGTACTTTTTGGAACCTCTAGACATATAAGTATGGGAACATTTGCTGTCGTGTCAATAATGACTTCAAAAATTGTCGCTACTTATTCCGATCCAAACTATGGAAGTGTCATTTCCAATTTAACACAAACTATGAGTGAGGATGGAAATCCTGTTTATCCATATTCACCTTTTCAAGTAGCCACAGCAGTAACAATGGTATGCGGATTTTATCAAATTATCATGAGTATTCTACGTTTGGGAATTTTATCTTCTTTACTTTCGGAAGCTCTCGTGAATGGTTTTACAACTGCTGCTGCTTTTCACGTGCTTACATCGCAGTTAAAAGATGTTTTAGGTTTAAAACTTCCGAGACATAAAGGCGCCTTTAAAATAATATTATCTTTGAAAGACATGGTCATGAATATTACGAATGCAAATCCGAATGCAATTTACATTGCTGTAGCTTGCATTGCTTTTATGATCACAATGAATGAATTTATCAAGCCATGGGCTTCAAAAAAATGCAAATTTCCAATTCCTGCTGAATTAATGGCAGTTGTTGGATTCACAATTGCTTCATACACTCTTAATTTAGGAGGTCCAATATACAAAGTCCGAATCGTTGGAAATATTCCAACTGGATTACCGATCCCAACAATGCCACCATTTGAGCTATTGCAACTTGTTGCCATTGATGCTATTGCAGTCTGTATTGTCAGCTATTCAATCAATATGAGCATGGCAAAAATATTTGCTAAGAAAGAGTATTATGAAGTTCGTCCGAATCAGGAATTGTTAGCACTAGGATTCTCAAATATATTTGGATCCTTCTTCTCATGCATTCCACTTTGCTGTTCACTTTCTCGTTCATTGATTCAATATCAAGCTGGTGGAAAAACACAATTGACATCAGTTATATCTGCATCGATTATTCTTACAGGTAAGTGGCTGTTCACTTTATTTGATAGCATGTTAACCTTTTTTTCTCCCCAGTTCTGCTGTGGTTTGGACCACTTTTTGAGACACTTCCTCGTGCTACATTAGCTGGAATAATTATTGTAGCTTTAAAAGGAATGTTCATGCAAATAAAAGATTTGAAAAGGTTTACAAAAGAAGGAATTTTAGAAACAGCTGAATGGATTGGAACATTCCTAACAGTTATTATTATTGATATTGATATCGGACTTTTGACTGGTGTGATAATATCAATTTTGGCTTTGTACATTAAAGGATTAAAAAGTTACTCAAGTATGCTTGGGCAAGTCCCAAATACTGATATTTATGTCGATCTCAAAACTCATAAAAATGCAATAGAATTACAACACGTGAAAATATTTCACTATAGTGGCTCGATCAACTTTGCAACGTGCAGTGGATTTAAGAAGGAATTATTTGATAATATTGGAATTAATCAACGTGTGATAAGACGTGCTTCATTATGTGAATCCCAATCGGAAGCACGTAATTTCAATAATAATCTTAAGACACTTATCATTGATTTAGGTTCTGTGGCTCATATTGATATGAGTGGATATAGAACATTTATGGAAATCAAAAATGACATGAAGCTTATTAGTGTCAACGTATTCTTGGCTAATGCAAGTGATTGTGTATATGATTCGTTAACTCATGCTGCATGTTTAGGACATCCAGCTTTCGAGTGCTTTTCCACTGTTCACGATGCAGTTTTATATGCAACAAATAAATCAGATTTATAGATTATAAATTCATAAAAATAAATTTACATAAATAATGATGATGTACATATTATGTTACTAAGCATAAATAAAATAACCGAATTTTTCAATGGATTTTTTTGCCTTTGATAGAAAAAATTGTTTTCTAAAATTTTAATGAACATGTGATTCTCTCTCCTTTCATGTTCAATGATTTTGTATTTTTATATTCACACCGTTTTCACGTTCTAGAAGAAAAGTTTGTGCCTGAAATTTTCCATCATTTTCAAAAAACAGATTTCAAATTGGGTGCGGCATTGCTGAGAAAATCGCAAAATACGCTTTCTGTAAGCAAACAAGCAAGCATGCAAGTTAATCAGCAAGAAATCTCAACAACGAGACATTGTAGAGACTTCTAGTTTTTTACATTTGATCCGTGCTGCTCTATAGAAGAGCTGTATTGTTTTTGGGCAAGGTAGGAACAGCCGTTGCTTCAGAAAAAGCAAAAAACTTTCCTATCTTACGAATTTTTCAAATTAAAAGTTCACTGTGATTTTTTTTAAATTAAACTTTGGATGAAAAAAATTTTTTTGAGCAAAGAACCAAGTAGGAAATACATTTTCAATTTTGGACTAGGGGCGACCCTAGTCAAAATCAGTTTGTCACTTTTTTTTGAGGGTTTATCCAAATGGATTGAAACTTTGCATTAATATTCTAGTGCTTAAAACATATACAAATAAAACATCTTAAAAATTTTTTGAGCAAAGAACCAAGAAGGAAATACATTTTCAATTTTGGAATAGGGGCGACCCTAGTCAAAATCAGTTTTGACACTTTTTTCTAAGAGGGTTTATACAAATGGATTGAAACTTTGCATAAATATTTTAGTGCTTAAAACAAATACAAATAAAACATCCTAAAATTTTTTTAAGCAAAGAACCAAGTAGGAAATACATTTTCAATTTTGGAATAGGGGCGACCCTAGTCAAAATCAGTTTTGACACTTTTTTCTTCGAGGGTTTATACAAATGGATTGAAACTTTGCATAAATATTCTAGTGCTTAAAACAAATACAAATAAAACATCCCAAAATTTTTTTGAGCAAAGAACCAAGGAGGAAATACATTTTCAATTTTGGACTAGGGGCGACCCTAGTCAAAATCAGTTTGTCACTTTTTTTTGAGGGTTTATCCAAATGGATTGAAACTTTGCATTAATATTCTAGTGCTTAAAACATATACAAATAAAACATCTTAAAAATTTTTTGAGCAAAGAACCAAGAAGGAAATACATTTTCAATTTTGGAATAGGGGCGACCCTAGTCAAAATCAGTTTTGACACTTTTTTCTAAGAGGGTTTATACAAATGGATTGAAACTTTGCATAAATATTTTAGTGCTTAAAACAAATACAAATAAAACATCCTAAAATTTTTTTAAGCAAAGAACCAAGTAGGAAATACATTTTCAATTTTGGACTAGGGGCGACCCTTGTCAAAATCAGTTTGTCACTTTTTTCTTCGAGGGTTTATCCAAATGGATTGAAACTTTGCATAAATATTCTAGTGCTTAAAACAAATACAAATAAAACATCCCAAAATTTTTTTGAGCAAAGAACCAAGGAGGAAATACATTTTCAATTATGAACTGGGGACAGGTCTAGTCAAAATCTAGTTTTTCACTTTTTTTTGAGGGTTTATCCAAATCGATTGAAACTGTGAATAAATATTCTAGTGCTTAAAACATATACAAATAAAACATCCTAAAAATTTTTTGAGCAAAGAACCAAGAAGGAAATACATTTTCAATTTTGGAATACGGGCGACCCTAGTCAAAATCAATTTTATCACTTTTTTCTTCGAGGGTTTTTCCAAATGGATTGAAACTTTGCATAAATATTCTAGTGCTTAAAACAAATACAAATAAAACATCCTAAAATTTTTTTGAGCAAAGAACCAAGGAGGAAATACATTTTCAATTTTGGACTAGGGGCGACCCTAGTCAATTTTGTCACTTTTTTCTTCGAGGGTTTTTTCCAAATGGATTGAAACTTTGCATAAATATTTTAGTGCTTAAAACAAATACAAATAAAACATCCTAAAATTTTTTTGAGCAAAGAACCAAGGAGGAAATACATTTTCAATTTTGGACTAGGGGCGACCCTAGTCAATTTTGTCACTTTTTTCTTCGAGGGTTTTTCCAAATGGATTGAAACTTTGCATTAATATTCTAGTGCTTAAAACAAATACAAATAAAATATCCTAAAATTTTTTTGAACAAAGAACCAAGAAGGAAATACATTTTCAATTTTGGACTACGGGCGACCCTAGTCAAAATCAATTTTGTCACTTTTTTCTTCGAGGGTTTTTCCAAATGGATTGAAACTTTGCATAAATATTCTAGTGCTTAAAACAAATACAAATAAAATATCCCAAAATTTTTTTGAGCAAAGAACCAAGGAGGAAATACATTTTCAATTTTGGACTAGGGGCGACCCTAGTCAAAATCAGTTTGTCACTTTTTTTTGAGGGTTTATCCAAATGGATTGAAACTTTGCATTAATATTCTAGTGCTTAAAACATATACAAATAAAACATCCCAAAATTTTTTGAGCAAAGAACCAAGAAGGAAATACATTTTCAATTTTGGAATAGGGGCGACCCTAGTCAAAATCAGTTTGTCACTTTTTTCTTCGAGGGTTTATACAAATGGATTGAAACTTTGCATAAATATTCTAGTGCTCAAAACAAATACAAATAAAACATCCTAAAATTTTTTTGAACAAAGAACCAAGAAGGAAATACATTTTCAATTTTGGACTAGGGGCGACCCTTGTCAAAATCAGTTTGTCACTTTTTTCTTCGAGGGTTTATCCAAATGGATTGAAACTTTGCATAAATATTCTAGTACTTAAAACAAATACAAATAAAACATCTTAAAATTTTTTTGAGCAAAGAACCAAGTAGGAAATACATTTTCAATTTTGGACTAGGGGCGACCCTTGTCAAAATCAGTTTGTCACTTTTTTCTTCGAGGGTTTATCCAAATGGATTGAAACTTTGCATAAATATTCTAGTGCTTATAACAAATACAAATAAAACATCCTAAAATTTTTTTGAACAAAGAACCAAGAAGGAAATACATTTTCAATTTTGGACTAGGGGCGACCCTAGTCAAAATCAATTTTGTCACTTTCTTCTTCGAGGGTTTTTCCAAATGGATTGAAACTTTGCATTAATATTCTAGTACTTAAAACAAATACAAATAAAACATCCCAAAATTTTTTTGAGCAAAGAACCAAGGAGGAAATACATTTTCAATTATGAACTGGGGACAGGTCTAGTCAAAATCTAGTTTTTCACTTTTTTTCTTCGAAGGTTTATCCAATTACAATGCAACTTTGTGTGAGTATACTAATATTTATACAAAACAGTTTTAAATTTCTAAAGCAAGAAATGTATTCTATATGTTGTCAGACCCAAATTTTATAAATTTGGTTGTACGTTCCAAAACAACGTGACTTAAAATTTTGTCCAAAAAATGATTTTTATTAATTCGGAAAAGTGTGACCTAAAGATTTGAATGTTTATACAAAGTTTTACTGTATTTGGATTTATCCTCGAAGATAAAAAGTGACAAAATTGATTTTGACTAGGGTCGCCCCTAGTCCAAAATTGAAAATGTATTTCTTACTTGGTTCTTTGCTCAAAAAAATTTTAAGATGTTTTATTTGTATTTGTTTTAAGCACTTGAATATTTACGCAAAGTTTCAATCCATTTGTATAAACCCTCGAAGAAAAAAGTGACAAAATTGATTTTGACTAGGGTCGCCCCTAGTCCAAAATTGAAAATGTATTTCCTACTTGGTTCTTTGCTCAAAAAAATTTTAAGATGTTTTATTTGTATTTGTTTTAAGCATTAGAATATGTATGCAAAGTTTCAATCCATTTGTATAAACCCTCGAAGAAAAAAGTGACCAAATCGATTTTGACTAGGGTCGCCCCTAGTCCAAAATTGAATATGTATTTCATACTTGGTTCTTTGCTCAAAAAAATTTTAGGATGTTTTATTTGTATTTGTTTTAAGCACTAGAATATTTATGCAAAGTTTCAATCCATTTGTATAAACCCTCGAAGAAAAAAGTGACAAAATTGATTTTGACTAGGGTCGCCCCTAGTCCAAAATTGAATATGTATTTCATACTTGGTTCTTTGCTCAAAAAAATTTTAGGATGTTTTATTTGTATTTGTTTTAAGCACTAGAATATTTATGCAAAGTTTCAATCCATTTGTATAAACCCTCGAAGAAAAAAGTGACAAAATTGATTTTGACTAGGGTCGCCCCTAGTCCAAAATTGAATATGTATTTCATACTTGGTTCTTTGCTCAAAAAAATTTTAGGATGTTTTATTTGTATTTGTTTTAAGCACTAGAATATTTATGCAAAGTTTCAATCCATTTGTATAAACCCTCGAAGAAAAAAGTGACAAAATTGATTTTGACCAGGGTCGCCCCTAGTCAAAAATTGAAAATTGATTCTCTATGGTGTACTTTTGTCAAAAAAAAATTTTGGATGTTTTATTTGAATTGACATAACTCTGACATAAATCGCATACCAATTTTACTTTTTGTAGTGCATAGCTTAAAAAAAACGAAAATTAAAATTTCGACTACCCCATCTGAATTTTGTTCATACTCTTCACTGTGGAAACCAAAAAACAAATTCTTTATCTTAAAACACTTGACAAAATAGCGACATAATTCAGGATTAATTACTTTTTAATAATATTTTAACATTTACGAGAAAATGTGGTTCAAATAAGAGTGAAGTATGGCAGAGATTTGGACCAAAATCAGCTATACTGGTTCATAGTGTTCCCGAGGGTGACAAAATTCAAACTAAGTCTTTTTATAGCTGACATAATTATGACATAAATTAGGTATATCTTTTGAACTGTGTCGATATGGGTCTCGGCCGTACTTCACGCGCACCCTTCAAACTTATGCTGAGAAAATCTTGGTCTATCCATAAGACTTTTGATGGTACGGTGTGAACATATCCGCATTGGGTTTCTACCCGATACACTAGTTTTATTTGATAGACACAAGTAAGAACTTTCTTATGAATATCCACATGATATACTTTTTGTGCATATTGGTTCCTAAAAGTTGAAAAAAGTTCGAAAACACTAGGGTTTTTGTCATTTTTTGGAGCTCATGACTATATCAGGCTTTTTAAATATTTTTAGATTGCAGTATTTTGTAGATCTCATTTATATCTACAAACATTACATGCATAATCTACAGATTTTATGTAGTTTGAGTAGTGAAAATTAACTTTGAAGTCAAAAATTTGCATATTTTTTGCTATATTCTCAATTGTGATCCACTGTCCATGTCCGGCTCCCAAATTTTATTTCATTAATTTGTAGACCCTAGTATGTTTTATCAATTAATGCAATAAGAAAAAAGAGTCACTTGCCGGAAAGCTTCAAAATATGAGCCTGAAGTTGGTCTAGTGAGGTATCTCAAAATTCAAAATGAATTTTCACATACGAGTCTTAATGAAAGGAACTGAAATTTTCAGGTTTTATTTAAAAAGCAATGTACTTAACATATACAACAAAAGTTTTTAATTAAATATACAATTTTGTTGAAAATTTAGGCAAAAAGTGATATATGATGTTATGAAACCATTAAATGCTCAATAAAGCTACTATAACTATTTTAAATCAAAACTTATCTGCAATTTTCATAAAGTTCATTTAAAAAGCTTTCCAATGGTATATAATAAATCACATAAATATGTAATTGCTAGTAAATATCATCAAAAGTTTAAAAAATGTATCAAATTTTAACGAATCTGAAAACCTATGCTTGACATTTTTGCTTAGAACTATTGTAAATCTTAAATGTATGCAATAATTTTGGTATTGTTAGAAAGCTTGAAGTAGTATTGATGTATTTAAAAAGAAATTGAAGCTCATTAGCAGCTAGAAGAACAGATATGCTAGGTTCAATATGTCATACTTTGTCTGCCACTACTAGGCACAAAGGTCATTTCACTTTTAATTTTTGGACTTTTTTCTATAAATCTATGCTAGAACTATAATATAAATTCCATAAAAGTAGATTTCCGATGTTAATTTCAGTAAAATAGTAAATGCCAGTAAATGCATTTAGTCAAAAAATCGCAAATTTTAAGGTTTCTATTTAGACAATTTTGTTTCAGTCAACCATGAAAAACTACTTTTATGGAATTTATATTATAGTTCTAGCATAGATTTATAGAAAAAAGTCCAAAAATTAAAAGTGAAATGACCTTTGTGCCTAGTGGTGGCAGACAAAGTATGACATATTGAACCTAGCATATCTGTTCTTCTAGCTGCTAATGAGCTTCAATTTCTTTTTAAATACATAAACACTACTTCAAGCTTTCTAACAATACCAAAATTATTGCATACATTTAAGATTTACAATAGTTCTAAGCAAAAATGTCAAGCATAGGTTTTCAGATTCGTTAAAATTTGATACATTTTTTAAACTTTTGATGATATTTACTAGAAATCACATCTTTATATGACTTATTTTATACCATTGGAAAGCTTTTCAAATGAACTATATGAAAATTGTAGATATGTTTTGATTTAAACTAGTTATAGTAGCTTTATTGAGCATTTAATGGTTTCATAACATCATTTATCACTTTTTGCCTAAATTTTCAACAAAATTGTGTTTTTAATTAAAAACTTTTGTTGTGGATGTTAAGTACATTGTTTTTTAAATAAAACCTGAAAATTTCAGTTCCTTTCATTAAGACTCGTATGTGAAAATTCATTTTGAATTTTGAGATACCTCACTAGACCAACTTCAGGCTCATATTTTGAAGCTTTCCGGCAAGTGATTCTTTTTTTGTTATTGCATTAATTGATAGAACATACTAGGGTCTACAAATTAATGAAATAAAATTTGGGAGCCGGACATGGACAGTGGATCACAATTGAGAATATAGCAAAAAAAATGCAAATTTTTGACTTCAAAGTTAATTTTCACTACTCAAAATACATAAAATCTGTAGATCATGCATGTAATAATTGTAGATATAAATAAGATCTACAAAATACTGCAATCTAAAAATATTTAAAAAGCCTCAATTAGTCATGAGGTCCAAAAAATGACAAAAAACCTAGTTTTTTCGAACTTTTTTCAACTTTTAGGAACCAACATGCACAAAAAGTATATCATGTGGATATTCATAAGAAAGTTCTTACTTGTGTCTATCAAATAAAAAAAAATTAAAGACAAACAAATAAGTAGGTGAAGCACAATAGCAGTTTAAAAATTACGTGAAGTACAAAAATTCAAACCCTCTTTTCTCGTGGACCAGGCACTTCCGGGGAAAAAAATTATTTTTTCCCATAAACTAGGGACCAATGTCTACAACATAAGCATATAAGCTGAATTTTTGACAAACTTTTCACTTTTTCGATCAACGTGCATCGTAGAGACTTCTGGTTTTTTTACATTTGATCCATGCTGCTCTATAGAAGAGCTGTATTGTTTTTGGGCAAGGTAGGAACAGCCGTTGCTTCAAAAAAAGCAAAAAACTTTCCTTTCTTACGAATTTTTTAAAACAAAAGTTGACTGTGATTTTTATAAATTTCAACTTTGGATGAAAAAAAAACTTTTAAATTATGTTCGTTAAGCTTTATACCTTCAAACTTATGCTGAGCGAAGCTCAGCTGACTCGCTAGCTTTATATCTCCTACTTTCTTCATACTTTTGCTGGGCAAATCTTGGTCTATCCATAAGACTTTTGATGGTACGGTGTGAATAAAATCCGCATTGGGTTTCTACCCGATACACTAGTTCAAAGGCCGATTCTCTGTTGTTAATATTTTTTATTTATGCATCTAATAATAAAGAAAAGCAGTAAATTAATATTTTTGAAAATTTGAAATTTTTTTATGTTATCAACTTCAAGCTCCTATAATTTTACTTGTGCTTATTGTAGACTCATGCGGTTACTAGTGAATGAAAGTACTAAGCTAGACCTTTCCAAAAATGTATAACACTTTTATGAAATTTAATTAGTTTAACCAGAAAAAGCAAAATAAATTCTAGATGGCAGAGAATTTTGAAATTTTTCATACATTTTTCACACTTTTTTATTGATTTCTCTCTTGTCTCACACTTTTTCCTAAATTGTTATATATCAATGGAAAGCTATTAAAAAATGAAAGAAAATAAGTTGAACAACATCTAATAACAATGCGCAGTTACCAAGAAAAATGAATTTAAATAGTGAAAAATTCAGGGTAGGAAAACTCGTGAAAAACTCAATGGAAAATTCTGAAACTTATACGAGTTATTAACATTTATATAAGCAATGAGTGTGCAAAATTTGAAAGCTTTTCATAGAGTCGTTGCTGAGAAAAATAAAAAACATTAAAAATTTGCATATTTATAATGCGTTTTTTACATAAAGTGACTATATTACTTGCAAATTTTCCAAAAATTTTCTAGTCATCATATTGAAAATTTGATAAGCTTTCCAAAAACATATATTTTTAATAGGAGAAATTTGGAAAATATAAAAATTTCTAATTGTGTGTCCACTCACTTTACATTCCAAATAATTTCAAGTTCAAAAAATTCACCCAAAAGTAAGTTCTTAGAAAACACTTTCAATAACAATTCGTGCCTTAAAATGTTTTCCAGGTAAACATGATCCTTCTTTTAGGGGCCGTTCACTTAAGGTGGTCAAGGGGGGGGGGGGGGGGGGAATCCATTGTTTGTTTTTGAAAAATGATTGAATCGCTTACAAAATTAATAAACAAGACGTGCTATAAATCTATTAAATAAGTGTCATTGAACTTGATGATCATGAAAATTAAATGTCAAGTTTCAGAATCACTTTACGATGAGATCCAAATGAGTGTACATATGATAAAACCCGATAAAACACAATAAGTGAGAAAAGAGCAGAAAAGACATAATTAAAATGAAACAAAAACATTGTCACCCTTATCAATTACAGGCTTGTACACGCAATTCAATTTATTAAATGAAAACAAATTAGATAAATTTAACCGCTTCAATCTTGATATATTTGGTCATAACTGATTTTATAAGAATGTTCCTAACATAACAGACGAACAGACATGATTTTTAGACCCCTACTCCTCTGTCACAAAACTGGTAGAAGAGATGCCATTATCCCCCCCCCCCCCCCTATATGCGAATCATATAAGTATAATATGATTCGCTAATACATGCTGTTTTATCAGGACATCCCGCTTCAAATGCTTCTAAAGTGTGCACGATGCAGTTTAATAAGCAACAAATGAGCTAGATCGATAGATTTTCAATTTAAAAGTACTTACAAAATTAAATAAGTTTTTACATGTTTTATTGTTTAAATATAAAACAGTCCTTATGAAAGACAATTAAGAATTTATTTTCAAGAAATCATGTCTTGAATGGTTTTTAAAACTTAATTTTAAGCAAGTTTCGTGTTTGCTTTAAAGAAATACTGTAAAATTCAAATCCGTAACGACTGATAATATTTCAAACAATGTATAAAAACTGCTTATAATTCGGATCCATGTGACTAAAGCGCATTACTGCTTATAGATCAGTAAACCATTTTAGCAGTCAAAAGAAAACCTTATTCCAAACTTGACAGCTTTGAAAGCCACAACATTCAAAATTTATTTATTACCATACTCGAGATAAAAATAATTAAGACTGGCTGTCAAACTGAACAAAATATTGTAATTTGTTACAAGTAAAACGAGCTATTATTCCGGCAGTTTTCTTCAAAACATTACTTAAACTTAATTAATATACTAAAATGCCACGAAAATCAGCAGCAACAAACCAACCATCAACTTCCAGAGGTTTTACAACCATGGAATTTGATTCTGAAAACGAGGAAGAAGGTACTAATCAAAATATTGTGCTGCTCGTTACGAATTTTGTGAAATATATAATTAATTATTCTTCGAATAAACTTCCAATAAAGCGAAATGGTATGTTAATCTGAAGAACTGTTACAATGCAAAATATCTATTAATGACATTTATTTTTAGAACTAGTTAAGCAGCTTAAAATTTCCCAGAAACAGTTTCCACAAGTTTTTATGGAGGGAAAGGAGATTTTGAAGGATGTTTATGGGATCGAAATATCAGAATTGGCAGAAACAAAACCGACCAAATTATTCATCACATATCCAGCATTCAAACTTCCAGTATTTTCAATCCTCAATAAAGAAATGGGAAAGGAACTGACAACACTATTCATTGTGCTATCATACATTTTTATGAAATCTGGAGAGATTCAAGAAAGTAAGATTATTAATGACTTAATCAGACTTTCTAGAGAACTGTAATTAATTTATGAATTGTTTATTCTTCCAGTCAATTTGAACAACTTCCTTGAAAAGGTTCATATCAATATAGAGGAATTTGCAAAGACTAGAGACAAATTTGTCAAGCAGATGTACTTAAAGCGTCGTAAGGTAGAAATTGAAGGCCAAAATGAATCACACACTTATTATTCTTGGGGAGAAAGAGCATTATTGGAATTCAACAAGCAGGATGTCTTGGAGCAAGTCGCAAAACTTGTCAGAAAACCATCATCGAATTTTGTCGTACAGCACCGTGAAGTTTATGGTGAAGATCCAAATGATATGGATTTTGTTATGCTCGGATAGAAGCTTAAAAATGTAAGAATGCACACTAGTTCAAACTGTACTCAACAGGTACTATATAACTATACATGATAATCCTTAAAAAAATATTGCTATAAATCATTCGAATTTCGTTTGACTGTTAAAACTAAAACTATTCCAAGTTGAACGATATATCTTTAGTCTTTATTTTCTTTAAATGTCTGAGAAATATTGAAAAGAGGCTTCCGTTTTACAAGAGAAAAAAAATTGTGCAACAGGCTCTCGTCTTGTTTAAACTGTATATCTCTCAGCACATGATTTATTAGATCTAGCGTTTTGTCTTTTTGAACAGACTTAACATTGGAGCTGAAATATGTTTAATATACATAGGTTCTAAATCCTTTAATATAAGAATAAGTGCCAAATCAATTGAATTAGAAATAAATAAAATTTTTGTTGAAAAACGCGAATCATCTCAACATTCACGGCTTAAGGTTTTTTTGTGTCTCAAGACATAAAACATTTGATTTAAATTTTATTGAAAATATGATCTAGAAGTAAATACCCTGTTTTTTCGTTATAAGCTACTACTCGTTACTAAGCTACTAGCTTAGTAAAGTTTTTTTGAACCGGATATTTTTTTGTAATCTTTACTAAGCTACTACCAAAAATAAAGTTTAATTGATCTTTTTCAACTTTCTAGTATCAGTTTCAATGCCTTATGACATTGTCAATGAAATAAAATCGAGAAGATAGCAAAACTTCTTTAATTAAGTTAAAAAATTCAAAATTTTCATTGAAGTTCAATTTCTTTACTAAGCTACTACTCGTTACTAAGCTACTAGTGAGCCAAAAAAATCACTTTTTTATTCTTCTAAGCTACTAGCTTATAAAGAAAAAAACGGGTAATTTCTTAATCCCAAAAAATTTCCATAAGCCTAGAAAAAGATGAATGAAAATGCGCCACAAACTTTGATCCACACAGCTTCTCTACGATCGAAGGAATATATTCATTCTCTCGTTCAAATAAAGAATAAAAATAAAGAGAGAGAGCAAGATAAAACAGCAAGAAAAAAAATTTAGTTTGCTTTTGTCGTGAGCCTTTATCGGATGCAACATTTTGCAGAAAAGTATATACACAACATTTTTTTTTTATATTCTTCACAAAAAAGAATCTAACATTTTAAAGATCTAAAGATAAGTTCCACGATATTGTTAATAACGATTTAAAAAATGAAATTTATTTAAAATTCATTAACGTTTATTTTGTGATAAAAAAAAAACCAGTAGAACTGTGTGAATAAACGCAAATGGCTGTAAAACGAATATCAGATGCGAATTTTATTTAAATTAAGAAAACATCGGCCATTGAGTTAGTTGCCTGTAAAATGTTAATGATTAATTAAAAAATATTGAACTTGATGCATTTGAAAAAGTCTTTATTTAATAATATTTGTTGTCTGTTCGCATTAATATAAACTGCCAAACATTAAGAGCAACAAGTATAAAGCATGATAAGAATGAAGATATTAAACTGTGACGACGAAACAAAGTGAAAATTGCAGTTCTTAACAGAGAAATAATTGAAAGCATAATAATTTTGCGTAAAAAGTTTAATTTTAATGAAGTTAATAAGTACATAGACTCACTACACATAGCACGAAGAGGAACAAAGTTTGAATTAAATAAGAAGGTAAACCTTAGACATATTTACACATCTTTTTTTATATGGATGCTTTACTATGTGAATTCGCATAAAATTTTCATTCATTTATACGCTGCTGCTGCTGCTATATAATGAGTGTGACTCAATTTGCAATTTCACAAAACTACTTAAGAAGAACAAGTGTATATCTTTTTTTTTCATACATTTATAAGCGAAAAAGTTTATGACAAGAACTTGTAGCAATACAAACTGGAGGGAAAGACAGAAAGCCTTTTTCCGACACATTCACACCGTACCTAGTTAATTATAGTCAAAGTTAATTGATAAAAATTATTTAATCGGCTGCTGTTTTCACGTTCAATGTCTGAAGAATGAAGGTTCTTAGGTTCAACTGCTAATTATGGGTTGAGGAGGATCCAAAAATTCTCTTTTATTCATCGTGTTTTTAGATGATCCGCAATCTAAAGAGTAAATTCAAATACGCATGGCACGGTGTGGATATGAAAGCAGTGACTATAAATGACTGCAATATTTTATTTATTATACATATTTTCCATCTTTATTTTTACCTTTTTTTTCTTTTATTTTGTGTGAATATTTTATTCACAGTTTTTTCTTCTCTCTCGCTTAAGAAGTGGATTTTGCTTATTGCTTATTATGGACGTATAACACCTTCAGCAGTCCATCAATAGTATTTTGTCTCTTTTTTTCTGCGTTAGTTTTATATACATATGCTAATTTCTATGCTACTCATTTTATTTTTACAATCAATTAGCGCAAAAAAAAAGCATGCGACATAATATGAATAATGTGATGAATATCATTAATAGGTGTCATTAACTAGAATCTTTTTTGGATCTAACGAGACGAGTTCAATGTGATCATAAAAAAAATATCTTTCGAATAGCAACAAAAACGCGATATTAATGGATATTCGATTTTTGGTCATTTCTTTAATATTTAAAATATTCAAGTTTAATTTTATTGCATTAATGCACACATTATGGAAGAGACAAACTTAATAAATGGGAATGTATGCAAATTGCTAAAAATGATCAGGAAAGGAATGACTAGAAATGACTCAAATTATTCGGATTTAAGGATGATTAAATTCTGTGAATTAAAGTCATTATTGAAGAAGGAAATTGTAGAAGCAGCACCTAATTGATAAATTATTTAATTTACATTTGCGAAAAAAAAGAGTCTCAAGCTTGGTATTAAATTAGAATAAAGAAATTAATAATAATTTAGTGTAATAACTGTGAAGGAAGCGAAGAAGAAATACGAAAAAGCTATTTATATACTAAGTGGATGATAATATGGTTAAATATTGTTAATTCATCGCTTTCTGCTGTCTGTTATCATACACTTCGTTCTTCTGTATGATTTCTTAAAAGTGTAAAGCAAAATACCATACATTTGAGAGTCAGTCATGGAAGGAAAGGAAACGGAGAAGAAAGAAAAAAAATTGGTTCACGCGGTTTTGTTTATAAAGACAGCCTGTCCAAGATTTAACACTCAAACAAGCAAAACCATTAATATATCATGAACAACGTTAAGTTAAAGACTCGAAAAAAGCTGTAGTAAACAGGATTAAATTTAATCGTGATTCTTCTTGATGGATATAAATATTCATTCAGGACATTCCCTTAAATTTGGACTTTGTTTGCTAGAAACAATCAGCAAAGTTATTGAGGAGACACAATGTTTGTCTGTAAGTTGACAGCTAAGATATCCATCCTAAATCAAAACCCAAGAACAAACTTTACAAAACATTCGTTAAACAAAAATCGCGGGATTCTAGATGCACAACAAAGAGCAGTGAAAGCACTTTAGTTTTGAACTTTAATAAGGAACACTGTGAAAGTGATAGAAAGTACATTATTGCAGCATTTAGAGTTCGCTACAAAAGTCAATATCTTTCTGACTTATAAGTTCTTAATTCACAATCGAGTTTAATCGAACATCTACTTTCCTTAAAAAAAAAGTTGCAGATCAATTACAAGAGTATAAGATTTCAACTCTGAAATGTTAAGAGCATCAAGTGTTACGAAAAACATGTGTCAACAACATCAAAGCAGTTCTGTCTTCATTTAATAATAAATTGATTATGGATAATATCATCTCATAAGTTTGATGCCATGAAAGCTATCAAATTATTACTTATCCAAAAAGAGTATGAAAATCAACACCCGACACATTAAAATAATAATATGAGAATTAATTTCGTTCTCTTCTTTTTTATCTTGCCTCTTTTTATACATGTTTTTTCGTCTGACAGCTTTATTATGTGGTTTTCATATCCGCACCATCGGACATTTGTAGCTTATTGGACGATTTTTATGTTATTGAATTAATTGTATCCTATCAAGTTGGATAATGATCTAATTTTAGGAATTAGGAGATCGATTGTTGTGAATAAGGACATAACTTAAAGCAATTGATATTCATTTGATGACTGATTAAGATTTGTAAAAAAGAATATTGGGGTTCTCTGAGAAGTCGAGACTACCCTTCTTATTAGAAGGTTTAACAGAGAGTGTCACATTTAACAGGCAAAATCTAATATCTGAAACTCCTATTAATACACATCGATACCAAACTTTAACGCTTTTGCCACACACAATGGAACATAAAAAACATACTCCTGGCCTTTAAACATTGGCAACTTAAGGTTTTAAGCATGTTTGCAGCAATTTTAAAAAGAATTTTTTTTTGTTGAGAAACAATTGTTTCACCGACACAAGAAAATTCAAAAAAATGACAATCGTTACAAGATTTTGAAATTTAAAGTTTTAATTTAAGTAAGGGGCCGTTCACTTATTACGTTACGCAAAAAAACGACTTTTTTTCACCCCCCCCCCCTCCCCCCTTGTTACAATATGTTACAACCCACAACCCCCCCCCCCCCCCTGAACGTTCATAATTTATTTTATTTTTATGAAAATGTTTTTGGTGTGAATTTGTAAACAAATTTTTGTTCGTGAACTTTTTTTTAAAGACAGACGACATTTAGAACGTTACATACTTCTTGACCCCCCCCCCCCCCCCCTATGTTACATTTTGTTACAATTTTTCAAACCCCCCTCCCCCCTAAAATGCGAACGTAATAAGTGAATGGCCCCTAACTTCCAATCATTTTATTGTTAAAAATGATAATTTGAATGAACAACTAGATGAACTTGCACAAATTGGTGCAGAAATATTAAAGTTTAAGCTTTAAATTAAAAAGATATGAGTGGTCTTGTCTACTCAAAATACCCATTCCCGAAATCCACGTCATCGGAGGATATTCGAATGGCTCTACAGAAGGAACTAGACATTGTACAAACTTAAATTTGTTATTATAATCTTTGTCTCGGCGAGTTCTATAATGCTTTAATTGAGAAAATTATGAAAAATAAGAAAAAGTGGTCTCCGATGACGTAGAATTCATTTTTGATGCGGCTCTAATATAATTGAAAGTTCATGATTAATTCGATCGAAGTTACAAGAATTCTGTTCTTCTGTTGTTATTAAAGCACAATATGCACTGCATTTCAGGAATTATCCAACTTACTGTGTGAATATGCTCAAATTAGCTTTCTGCCTTTCTCATTGGTTTATAGCTCAAATTGTTGTTTTTATATTGCCTTGTCGATTTTCATTTTTATTGACACGACAAGATTATAAGATTTTTGCCTTTAAACAACATCTATACATCTCATTTTTTATATGGACATCATTAAGTCACTTATGAATTTGTTTTAATAAAAGATTAATAAATATTTAATAAGACAATTTATTTGATTATTATGTGATAGCTTCCAGATACTGCCGAAATAAACATTGACACATTGTAGATTGGGAAAAATGAAACTTCTTGTATTCACAATCGCCATTCAATTTTTATTGCAACAAAATTCATGCGCACGCCATGATCATCCTTACTTTACACATTACCATCATCACTATTATCAGTCAAATGAGCCGACAGACTTATCATTATGGATTAGTGAGGAGCAAGTTAAAATGTTTAGCGGATACTTCTTTAGGATATTTGCAATAGAGAATGGTCGCGTTAATCCATTGCTTAGAGATCCCGCATTTGATACACTCATGCCAGTCATACCTCCGGAAATTAGTCACATGAATTTCACGTGGACATCAGCTAAGAAAAAATATCGTTATCATTTTGATCAGCTTATATCTCTAGACGAGAAAATTCTTCTATCTCCAGTCATATCTATTAAGCCTAAAGGAAAAATTCCACATGAACCTAAACGTAAGATTATTCATCTATCACCTTATTTCCACCTTATTGACGATTGTTTGTTCAATAATAGAATTTAGTGTAATGCTTCCATGCTCAAACATTACATCGGGAATTGCAAAATTTTCGTTAGGTCTTCAAATTATGCGCAGCAAAGGAAAATTTCTTCAAGGAACTCCCCTGCGATTCACATTACGAAAAGAATGCAATTTAAATAGAGGTATGAAATCTACACTTGATATCTCTCCGGCTTTGCAAGGTAGTGTATTAATTTTCTGCTATTTTCATATGATGTGCCTTCAATTGAATTTGGATGACTGTTCTTAAGTGGGCCATTCGTAAGTGATGTTAATTAGAATTTTTAACCCACTCTACCCAGTCTTAAGAGTCTGAGAATTCTGAATTTGAATTAACATCATTTGCAAATGACACTCCGAGAACAAACAAAATTTTAACAATTTGAAACTTTGATTTAAGGCTCATCAGTTCTAATTCAATAATTATGCTTTCCGCAACTAATAATCTTTAAGGGCGAAGCTTTGCAATATTTTAATTCTAATAATATTAATTTTAATATTTTTGATGCTTTGCAAAAACAACTCAAACTATTCCTTAATTATTACTTTATTAGCTTAAATCTGCTAGAATTCTATGACTATTTACAAACATGTTTGCGAATCTAATTGACCCCCCTTGTTATATGTTGCGATGGCATTTATTGTTTTGCAACATATATAATTCCTTATTTACCATATTTCGTATGATTTTTTTTTGAATCTCATTATGCAAAATGAAGGCGGTCCAGATCCAGAATGTGATAAAAAGTGTCTGAATGGTGGAACGTGTACAAAGAATAAGATCTGTAAATGTGCTGAAGGGTATATAGGACAAAACTGTGAACAGGCTTTATGCTTTCCTCAATGTATGAATGGTGGAAATTGTTCTGCACCAGCAGTCTGTTCCTGTCCAAAAGGTTATCAAGGACGTTACTGTGAGGGTGGTAAGTACAAAGCAGTAAAACATACATCAACTTACTCTAAATGACTATAAGGAGTGTATTATATTCTCTCAGAAATTTTAATAGCAGTTTTACATCCAAATTTAATAACATTTGTTAATGCTGAATAGAATGGAGCTTGTTCTGCGCCGTGATCGATACCGCAATCATGATGTTCCTGTTCCTCGTCTCTGAATTTCGTAATAATGTCTAAAAGTTCCTTATCGGGATTTGGTGATTCCATTAATTGTCTTAATTGGTCGTTATAATGCTCTACAATAACTGTTTCAACAGCTACAGTACATGCCATAGCTGCTTTTTCTCCCATCAATGCTGTTGTTGCTCCTAACATAAATCCAGCGACATTCCAGATCGGTGTCAATACTGTTGGTCTTACTCGATGCTTCTTAATAAGTCTTTCCATCTCTGCACGATGAAACTTTTCTTGCTCCCACATATGCTTAATCGTTGGACCAACTTTTTTATCGCCTATAAAATATATGAAAGTTACTCTATTGGAAGTAGCTACAAAGTTGTAGCTTACCTAAAACTGCCAATTGCCCTGCATAAATGCGGTCTGCACCAAGTTCGCCAGCATGATCGACTCGTACCATTCGATCAATCATTTGTGATGCTCTTGGAACATGTGACATATATCTTACATATTGATTCGTTAATATACCAACAGTTGACCTATGCATTGCTATGCTTTGAGAATATTTATCTAAAATAATAATTTTTTACAGGAATTTGTAGTGAGAAATGCTTAAATGGTGGCAAATGCATACAAAAGGATACATGTCAATGCCCAAAAGGTTATTATGGCTTAAGATGTCAATTATGTAAGTTGGATATTGTGCAGTAAATTGTCAGAACTAATGAGATTATTTATCATTCACAGCAAAGTGTGTTGTGCCATGCCTTAATGGAGGAAAATGTAGAGGAAATAACATCTGTCGATGCTTAGATGGCTGGCTTGGAGATCATTGTGAAATTGGAAGAAAAACACCAAGATCAATTTGCAAGAAACCTTGTAAAAACGGAACCTGTTTATCAACTGGAATTTGTGAATGTAAAAAAGGATGGAGTGGAAAGTTTTGCAACCAACGTAATAAACGAAGAAATAAGAAATTAGGAAACAAGCAGGATAATAATCAAAATGTCAACAATAAAAAGATCAGGCAAACATAGAAGTTAAATTTAATAAGAAAGTAAAATAATTTTTTGTGATATCCCTTTTGAACATTAAATTTCATCACTTTAATTCTTAATAAAGCAAGGCAAATTGCTTGTAATTAAGTCTTACCAGTCCGTTAAAATGAATTTTCCTTATTTCTTTAATTATTGCAGAATCTTAAATATATTATTATTATTTACAATTCGACACAGTCTGCGAAACAGCAATAAACACAGCTGTTGTCGACACTCACTCTATTGATACAATTTTACACAATTTTATTTCATGTAGCCTATATATAGGCTCTTTACTTTCCCTGGGCCTCGACGATTTTTATAGGATTATTGCTCAACGGAAAAATTAAATTTGAAATTCACTAACACTATCTTACAAAACATCAAAAATTAAATTATCAAATATCTTAATTATTCAATCATTATTCCCAAATATTATGGTATGATTACGAAAAGTAGATGATACATTAGCTATTCTGCCTATTTTAAGAGCTTTAACATCATTATTGAGTGATATTTTCATGATTTTTTAAATTTCATTTCAATTTTTGTTTGTAAACAAACATCTCACGACAGAAAAAATTCAAAAAATTTAAAACGGTTGAAATTTTTTTAACTTAATTTTGTTCATTTAAGTATGTTTCGGGGACAATTTATTACTTTTTTTGAAACCAAGCAAAAGAGAATAAAATTTCTGATTCAAAAAAATACATTTGAAGATATATCAATGAAAGCTGACAAAGTTATAGCAAGATTCCCAAAAATTATTCGTGAGTGACGCTTAATTAAAGTGATTTTGCGACATAACTGCTTAACTTTAGGAAGTAAGTTGTATGTCAAAAGATAGAAATTTTTGTTTCCTACAAGAAAAAAATAACTTTGGAATTTGTCACTATTGTGGTTTCGGAGATATTTAAGATTTTAAAGCGTCACTCACGAATAATTTTTTTTCGTCAGGACCCCCCTCCTATTATCAGTTCCTATCTAAACGGATCTTAACCAATTAATTCATCGACTTACATAACGAGAAAAACTATTTTCTAGACCCCCCCCCCCCCCCCCCCCTGAAAAAAAGCTTTCACTTTAGGATTAGTAACAGACAGACAGACAAAACACGACAATAGTGTCGAAATAATTTCTGTTCGTGTATTGCGTAGTTCCGTGCCCTTTAAAAAAGTGAAATATTTGCTTATTCATTTTTTATTGCATTTTTGATCAAATTAAAGGATTTCACGTTAATTATAGTCGGTAAAAATGTGGATAACTATTAAGAATTTACAGCAACAAACAATAAAAGTTGAATTTGACGAATCGCTAACGGTAAAATGGCATAATTTAACTTATTTTATTCTAGGTTATTGAACTTGAATATTTTTAAATTAATTTTTCGATCCGCTTTTCTTGATTTTCTTTTAAATATAGGTTCAAAAGCTTAAGGAAAAAATAGAACTTGAATTGGGAAAAGATTATCCAGCATCACAACAAAAATTAATTTATGCAGGTAATTGAATTTTAAATTAAAATATCCAAAAAGAGAATTTTTCGGTCTAAAACTTTTTGTTTTCAATCATTTGATTTGATTGACAAAATTCTCAGTTCTTTCCCACAATTTTAATAGAATATCCAGAATATCTACAAAGTAGATTTATTTCATAAGATTGTGTTTTTCTTTATGTGATATTTTGAGCTTATTAAGGATGATTGTGCATAATTTTCTTTATTCTCCTATATATTTTCCTTTTCACAGGATGTATTCTCGATGATGATAAAATTTTAGCATCATATAATGTTGACGAGAAGAAATTTATTGTAGTAATGGTGAAGAAAGGAGGCGCAGCAGTAGCCAGTTCGACAGCATCATCAGCAGTACAGCCAAAAGAAAAGGAGAAGGAAGAGCCTGCAAAATCAAGCGAAAAAACAACTCCAACAACGACTGAAACTAAAGATGACATTCAGAAATCATCATCAACGAATATTACCTCATCTCCAGCAAAAACAGCAACAGCTACTGAACAGCCAGTTGCAGTCAAAGAAAACACATCATCGACATCTTCTCCATCGGGAGCTGTTGCACAGATTGCTCTCGCAGAATCTAATTTAGTAATGGGCGAGAGTTACAATACAATGGTTAAAAATATTATGGAGATGGGATATGATCGTGAATCTGTCGTTCGAGCTCTAAATGCTTCGTTTAATAATCCTGAAAGAGCTGTAGAATATCTAATTACTGGCATACCAGAAACAGCTATTCAAGATCGTCCAAGTGCTAGTAGTGGATCAGGGGCTGAACAAGGTGGTGCTGTTGCTGAAAGAACCGCTGGTCTTCAACCAAGTGAAATTCGAGCATCAAGAGGCGGTGGAAATAGTGAAAGTCCACTTGCATTCCTCAGAAATCAGGCACAATTCCAACAAATGAGAAATGTCATACAACAAAATCCTGAAATGCTTAATGCTGTTCTTCAACAAATTGGACAAACAAATCCAGCACTTTTGCAACTTATTTCTGAAAATCAAGAAGCTTTCGTTAACATGCTTAATGAATCAGATGACGGACGTCAAGCACCAATTGGTGGAAATGACGATGACGAGGGACTCGCAAGCTTTGGTTTGGTAGCACCCGAATTTTCCCAACAGGATCGTGATGCCATTGAAAGAGTAAGCTAGTCACATTTATAATTTATTTTCTTTAATGACATTCCCCATTTTCAGTTGAAAGCTCTAGGCTTCCCCGAAGATCTCGTATTGCAGGCTTATATTGCATGTGAGAAAAATGAGAATTTGGCTGCAAACTTCCTGCTTTCACAGGGCTTTGATGATTAGATATGCGACATTGCGCTTTCAATTTATTTAAAAGAAAAAAATATTAAAATAACGAAAAAACACCAAACTCATTACGTTCTATCTGAATTAGTTCAGAACTGTTACTTTAATTAATTTAAAACAAACAAAAAAAAAGGTATTCATGATAATGATGATTTTTTTTTATTATTTCGAAAGCTTCTTTTGTCATATTCTTCTTTTTATATGTTTTTGTTGAGATGAACTTATTTGGAAGGAAAAAAAAATTTGAAAATCTTTTAAACAATACCCTAAATAATGTAATTCAAGAATAAACTTTGTTTTAATTTTTAAAAAATAGCCTCCCACAGTTTTATCATTTTTGGTGATTCACGGTGTATCTTTTCACAAAAAGTGTAAATAAAGCATAAACTTCAGCATAAAAATAACGATTTTTGGAATTATAAAAAATTAGGCATTGGCGAATATAGGAATTGGATAATATACTAGTGATGAGGAAAATTTGAGAGGAAGACAATTTTTAAAAGAATTTCAATATAAATTAACAGCATAGTACTAATGTTGACCGGAAAAGATTATTTAAAGTGATGTATTTTTGAAATGAGCTTAAGCATTCAAATTAAACTTTCGTACTAGTTTTTTTTATGCTGGAAAAAAAAATTCCTCAATTCAACATAAAGGAAAAATCGATAAGTTCTGCAAACTATCAATCGAAAATATTATGATAATGAGCTGCTACTAAAATATTTATACAGCAAAATTAGCAAGTTTTTGTTGCTTAAAATAATGAGCTTCCGTAAATATTTGTGAAAGAGCTCAAAACGGAAGAAAGGGGGAGTGAGTAGTTAGAAGATCCAGTGAATTCTTGCTGATTGAAAAAAAAATGTCTGGGCCAAGTAATAATAGCACGAATAGTACTAATAATAATAGTAACAAATTCTACAAACATCAAGTGTCACCAAACAATTCTTTAAATCATGATAGCAATAGCTCGGATCGAATGGTTTGGGAAATGCGTAATAATTTTCGACAGTATTATCGAACACCAAACTTAACGCCTCTCCTTAATTCGCCTATTCTGAATGAAGACATTCGGATTATCGATCAATACCAAAAGGTCACAGGCGATTCTATAAACAATGGTGATATAAATGGACTTCGTGTATTAGATAGTTCAACAGAAGGAGCTTCCAATAATTATTATTCGGAAAAAGATATTGTTATATTTGATGATATTGAAGACACTCGTAGCTCAGCATGGTTAAATAATTCTCATTTTGGAAATCGTTTAGTTACTGGCTTTTCGCCTACTTCCTCACATTCATCACATTCTGGAAATGTGTCAACCGGAAGTGACGGTTTAGGTACAAAAAACAGAATAATAGGTGACATCCAAATTGCTGACTTGCAAGGAAGTCCAAGGCGATTTGGAAGTACTCATTCAAATGAGACCGACTCATTAAATATGGAAAAGTCTGAAAAATTACAGCAAAAAGGAATATTGCAGTCACCCATCAATTTTCCTAAGCGTGCACCAGGATTTCCCCAGGTTTGTCGCAGCATCTATTACTCATGAATTATTCATGTCATTATTTCATCGACATAATAAATTATTTTTAGCGAATTATATCACCAATTGAGCCTGAGACGTCATCAAGTACAACAAATAATTTTGGTAGTAGACAAGATGAAGAAATTTTGCAGCATCAAAATCAGCCTTCTGTTGTTGATCCACCTTTTGATTATTGTTACGAATTTTCCGAGACTAGAAAAGTATTAGACGAATTTTTTACACCTCAAGAGCAGCAACAATTTCAGCAGCAAAAGTTATTAGAATTTCAGCAACAAGCTAAATTACAGCAAGTTGAAAAGGCGCTTCCATTAGATGACTTTGTAGATTTTAAACAGCAAACGTCAGCAACGTATATAGGACAAAGATTAGCAGCTCTTAAGCAAATGCAACAGAAACAGCATTATGAGCATCAATTACAGCAGCAATATGAGAATAGGAGTATGATGGAAGACGTTTCAGTCACTAAAAATAAACCAATATTATATGAGAATGAAATAGGAGAAGATGAGTTGGATATACAAAATTATTATGGAAATTGTCCACAGTCAAAAAACTTTACGTTGTCTCCAGAAACAACAGATTATGACTATGACTCGAATTGCGGAGATTTGGATTCTGAATTTTCGCTTAAATATATTAGCAGTGATCTGAGTCTCTCGAATGAAATTAATGGAGTTCAAGATACTGGACGATTATACAGCAGCATGCCAGTATTAGAAGATGGATTGTCAAGTGGACATGCTTCAGATACCGAAAATAATAATCCAAATATATCAACCGTTCTCGAAAATGATAATATGTCGCTTTCTATGAATCAAGCTTCTCAAAAATATCCTTGCGGAATCTCAAGTATTCAGACATCGCTTTATAATTATAAAAATCAGCAGCAAGATGATGATCCTGACGATGATATCGAGGAAACCAGTCATGATATAGACATTGATAAGTCTCAGGACATGCAAGTAGCTTTAAAAGACATTAGAGGTACACTAGAACGATCCAAAAAACTTACTTCATCAATCAATGAAGCACTGATTCATTCAAGCGGAAATACTAAAAATATTAATAACAGCAATAGCGTTAATAATAATGTTAATACTTCGAAAGAAAGTTTAGTTTCGACAAATATTACTCATAAACAGCATGGTGAAGACGAAGAGCACGATACTGATCTCGAAACCGACAGATTATTAGGACAACAAAGAATGAATGAGTTACAGCAGGGTGGATTTGATGATAATAAGGTATGAATGATTTCTGGAGAACATTCCAAAATAGTCCTTAGGGGCCGTTCACTTATTACGTTCGCATTTTAGGGGGAGGGGGGGTAAAAATTGTAACATAACTGTCGTCTGTCTTTTAAAAAAAAGTTCACGAAAAAAATTTGAATTATGAACGTTAAGGAGGGGGGGGGGGGAGTGCGAGTTGTAACATGTTGTAACAAGGAGGGGAGTGGGGGTGAAAAAAGTCGGTTTTTTGCGTAACGTAATAAGTGAACAGCCCCTTAGTTTATCACAACGTGATTAATTTTCTTTCTAGAACATGAGGAAAGTAAGATGTGCTAATGGACAAATTATTAAATCACCAATTGGAATGGGTAAAACACAGACATCGTTAAGACATGGAATTGGTACACAATTGAGCACTGAACAATCACCAGATCATTCTGAAGAATGTGTTGATGATATAAAATCAAAATCTCCTACACAGTTAGTCAAATCACCAACAGGATCGATTGTTTCGAAAGGTCGACGACGAAATAAAGAAGGTAACCATTGAAATTTTAATTAATGCCTTACCATATGTGACTATTAAATGTTTAGATGAACAATATCCATTAACTGTGTCTATAGATTATATAGGACAATTACTATAGTTCTATTGCAAAATTTTCTCTATTGCTCTATTCCCTTTTCCATGCATCAAACTAAAACTAAAATATAATTAAATGTCACATAAAATTAAAATGATCGGTAAGAACCTTTAGTAGTGTTGATCGTAGAGTAGTTTCTTATTGTATGTTTCTTTTATTTGTTTACTCTATTATTTCACGTTAATTTGTGTATCCATCGGGTAGATTAGTCTTTGAGTGTATTGCGTTTGTATATTAAGATAACAGTCAACTTGAAAATTTCTTTATGACATGATGTATATGTAAACGATCAGTGACATGAAAAAGTTCCTGCTTAATCTAAAACTATCTCTTTCCATAGGCACAATGCTGGATCCAGCTGTTCTTATCGAAGGAGTTTTGTTCAGAGCACGATATTTGGGCTCAACGCAACTAGTCTGCGAAGGCCAACCAACAAAAACTACTCGAATGCTTCAAGCTGAAGAGGCTGTATCTAGAATTAAGGTAATTTACTATCCTTGTGCTCGGTAATTTTATAAAAAAAATTTTAACTGATTCTTATTAACACATGCACACGTTAAGGCTTTGGTAAGACTAACGATTTGAAATTTTTTTGTCGTTGCTCAAAAATGATCTCAAATCAAAGTAAGTCCTAATGAAACTTGATATTTCCAGGCACCCGAAGGCGAAGCTCAACCGAGTACAGAAGTTGATTTGTTCATATCAACAGAAAAAATTATGGTACTAAACACAGATTTGAAAGAAATAATGATGGATCATGCACTAAAGACAATTTCTTATATAGGTAAAAGAATATTTAAATCACAAGTATTGGTGATCTTTTGCTTATAAAATGTTAATACATTACAGCTGATATTGGTGACTTGGTTGTGTTAATGGCACGAAGACGATATGTTCCACAAGATAACGATTCAAGTGGTGAACAGCCAGGCAGTAATGAAACTACACCTCCGAATGGAGGAAAAAATCGAACACCGAAGATGATTTGCCATGTATTTGAAAGTGATGAAGCACAATTTATTGCACAATCTATAGGACAAGCATTTCAAGTTGCTTATATGGAATTTCTAAAAGCAAATGGAATTGAAGATCATAGTTTTATGAAGGAAATGGATTATCAAGAAGTGTTGAATAGTCAAGAAATTTTTGGAGATGAGCTTGAGATTTTTGCAAAAAAAGAGCGTCAAAAAGAAGTAGTTGTGCCGAAAGTAAAAGGCGAGATATTAGGTGTTGTTATTGTTGAATCTGGTTGGGGCTCAATGCTTCCAACTGTCGTAATAGCAAATTTAGCTCCAAATTTACCAGCTGCTCGCTGTGGTCAACTCAATATTGGTGATCAAATTATTGCCATAAATGGATTAAGTCTTGTCGGTCTTCCTTTATCTCAATGTCAACAATATATTAAAAATACCAAAAATCAAACAGCTGTGAAATTCACAGTTGTCCCTTGTGCTCCAGTTGTTGAAGTTAAAATTAAGCGACCAAATACAAAATATCAATTAGGATTTAGTGTTCAAAATGGTGTTGTAAGTTTAATTAATATGCAATCATGTGCTTAGTTTTACTAAGTTTGCGTTATTGCTACAGTTAAGTATTAAAACCGTGCTTATTTCAACAGATATGTAGTCTTTTACGAGGTGGAATTGCAGAGCGTGGTGGTGTACGAGTAGGACATCGCATTATAGAAATCAATAATCAAAGTGTCGTTGCTGTTCCTCACGAGAAAATTGTTAATTTACTTGCAACGTCAGTTGGAGAGGTACGAAAAATATTCGAATTATTTTTGTGTAAACTAATTGAGTTAATGATTTTCCCGAACATACAAAGAGCATGCTCAGAAAAGTGAGCATATAAGTGAGTCTACTCAAAAATTATACTCATGCAAGCTCATTCAACTGAGCATGCTCAGGAGTTCATTACGAATGTACTCACTTTATTTTTTTGCAAAAAATTTATAAGCTCACGTGAGTCCATTCAACGAGTGTATTCATGAGAATATTAAGATCATACTTATGTGAATACACTCGTATGAGTGCACTTACTGAACATTCTCATGAGAATATTAAGAACATACTCACTTCTGTGTGACATAATTTTTTTACGTTCTCATATGAGTGCACTTACTGAACATACTCATGAGAATATTAATAACATACTTATGTGAATACACTCGTATGAGTGCACTTACTGAACATTCTCATGAGAATATTAAGAACATACTCACTTCTGTGTGACATAATTTCTTTACGTTCTCATATGAGTGCACTTACTGAACATACTCATGAGAATATTAAGAACATACTTATGTGAATACACTCGTATGAGTGCACTTACTGAACATTCTCATGAGAATATTAAGAACATACTTATGTGAATATACTCGTATGAGTGCACTTACTGAACATTCTCATGAGAATATTAAGAACATACTCACTTCTGTGTGACATAATTTCTTTACGTTCTCATATGAGTGCACTTACTGAACATACTCATGAGAATATTAATAACATACTTATGTGAATTTTAAAAATGTCGACCAACTTAAAATCGAACTTAGAATACATTTTTATGTAAGTCGACATTTTCAAAAATGTCGACCAGCTTAAAATCGAACATCGAATACATTTTTATATTAGTCGACATTTCTAAAAAATGTCAACAAACTTAAAATCAAACTTAGAATACATTTTTATGTAAGTCGACATTTTCAAAAACGTCGACCAACTTAAAATCGAACAAAGAATACATTTTTATGCAAGTCGACATTTTTCAAAAAATGACCAACTTAAAATCGAACTTAGAATACATTTTTATATTAGTCGACATTTTAAAAAAATGTCAACCAACATAAAATCAAACTTAGAATACATTTTTATGTAAGTCGACATTTTCAAAAATGTCGACCAGCTTAAAATCGAACATCGAATACATTTTTATATTAGTCGACATTTTAAAAAATGTCAACCAACTTAAAATCTAACTTAGAATATATTTTAATGATAGTTGACATTTTTTAAAATGTTATTTTTAAAAAATTGTCAACCAACTTAAAAGCAAATGTTGAATATTTTAGATATGTAATACAAAAATGTACGAAACTTTTTACAATTTTAAGTTTTCTGAAATAAATGTCAAGAGTTTCTCAAGGAATTAAATTAAAAATTACTTCGCTTTTAAAAAACTATAAGAATTAAGCACGATCAAAATGTTTTGGCTTTCATGGAACTAATATTTGAATTCATAAAATAATTTCAAAAAATGTCGACCTGCATAAAAATGTATTCTAAGTTTAATTTTAAGTTGGTCATTTTTTGAAAAATGTCGACTTGCATAAAAATGTATTCTTTGTTCGATTTTAAGTTGGTCGACGTTTTTGAAAATGTCGACTTACATAAAAATGTATTCTAAGTTTGATTTTAAGTTTGTTGACATTTTTTAGAAATGTCGACTAATATAAAAATGTATTCGATGTTCGATTTTAAGCTGGTCGACATTTTTGAAAATGTCGACTTACATAAAAATGTATTCATAGTTCAATTTTAAGTTGGTCGACATTTTTTAGAAATGTCGACTAATATAAAAATGTATTCGATGTTCGATTTTAAGCTGGTCGACATTTTTGAAAATGTCGACTATCATAAAAACGTATTCTAAGTTTAATTTTAAGTTGATCGATTTTTAAAGAATGTCGACTAATATAAAAATGTATTTGATGTTCGATTTTAAGCTGGTCGACATTTTTGAAAATGTCGACTTACTTAAAAATGTATTCTAAGTTTAATTTTAAGTTGGTCGACATTTTTCATAATATGTTCTCACGATCGTGCTTTGATAAACTCAAATATTTCATAAAAATATAGTTCAATTAAGCAGCGTTTCAAACTTCAAAGAACTTAGTTTGCCTGTAATAATATAATAATTTAAGTATGTGTTTTGCCATATAAAAATTATTATATATTTACAGAAAATTGCTCCAAGGAAAAGTGTGAGGTGACAGAAGTTAAGCAACGCAATAGGTTTTTCAACAAGGATGGGTGACCGGTTTTTAAAACTTCCTTCTTAAGTATTTGAGATAAAATGTTAATAATAATTTCTAACTCTTCCAAAATTATTCACAGAATTATCCTTATAAAACTCAAATTTAACTTAATTAATTTTTTTGAATTTTGCGACTTTAACTGATTGCACTCATGAATGTGCTCAGATGAGCATATACTCATAAATAAACTCACTGAGCATATATCTTTTGAGTATCTTCATGAGTATAAGCTCTTTGAGTATGTTTATGAGTATATGCTCTTTGAGAATGTTCATAAGTATATTCAATAAAAAATGTTGCATTAAAAAAATGTTGCGTGTGGCATGTTGCCTTCTCATTTGAGTATGCTCATGAGTTTACTCATTGAGCTTAATGCATGTCACAAAGGAATGTGCTCACTGAGCATACTCAAAAAGGTACCGTGATCGCATCACTTTAATGTATGAAATGAGCACATTCTCACAAAAGTTTGCAAGCTCACAAATAATGTGCTCTGAGTATACTCATTGTATGTTCGGGTTTGACAAACAAACATTGGATAGATTACTGTATATTAAGTTTACTGGACTGTCCAATTCAATTGAAACTTTGGTTAACACAGTTAATTTTATGAGATGGTTTTTGTTTTTTGTTATCTTCGATTATTTAATATGCACAGCTGTCAAAATTATCAACTAATAATATTAAAATATTTTTCAATATCTTTCAAATATCAATAATACTCTTAATAATCCTAAATCTGTATTTTAATTTATGTCAAAAAAATCATTTCTTTTTTCCTTTTATTTCAAATTCACACAGATTTCGATGAAAACAATGCCGACATCAATGTTTCGTTTATTAACTGGTCAAGAAAATCCCATCTATATTTAATTCGTATATTATTCTGCAGTATTCATCATCGTAAGTAAAATGTATGAATTGAAAACGAGAAAGTCATCTAATAGAAGATAAAAATGAAAACGCTTAAAATGCATTTAAATAAGCCAAAAAAATGGATGTCGAGAAGTTTTTGAAATTATAACTAATTTACATCCGAAGAAGGGTTATTTAATTTGATTAATCACATTGAAATCTCTAATTTTTTTAATCTTCTCCATCTTTTCTGTTTAAACACGTCTCCAATTTCATTAAAAACATATCAAATTGTTTATTTTTCATAAATATTTTGGAATGCGTGCATGTCTCTAAAAGAGATTACTCAAAAAAAATTATTTGAAAAAGCACAAAATTAAAACGCAATCTATACAGCAAACATTAATTGTTGATTGAAAAATAGCCACTTTGAAAAAGGATGAGTCATTTTTTTAAATTTTTATCTAATTATACTTCTTATCATAAAAATTGATAAAAATCATTCGGAAATTACAAAGGAATGCCGAATGTACAATGGGGTCGTTCATAAATTATGTCTAATTTTAAATCTTACTCCACCTTTAAGGTGCCGTTCACTTATTACGTTACGCAAAAAAAACGATTTTTTTCACCCCCCCCCCCTTGTTACAACTCACAACCCCCCCCCCCCCCCCCCTGAACGTTCATAATTTATTTTATTTTGACAATTTTTTATTCTAAAAAGACGGTAAAATTTCTTTTGTATTTTTTTTCTTAAACATCAAAATACTGTATAGCTAAATAGGTCATGTTTTGATTGATACTATTAGTATTCTCATGAATTATTGGATTGAGATATAAAGCAAAAATTTGTTTTTTATTGAAGAAAATTCAAAAATATTATGCCAGATCGAATTTTGGAAAATTCAATCAACTTGAATGTAAATATCACAATGATGGGATCATATTAATCATCATATGAATGACAGATTTAGAGAGATTAATTTTTAAACTTATGATTGATTTAATTTTGTATTTTAAAGTCTTGTAAACCAGTTTTCTATTGATTTGTTACAAAAACTATGTATTGCTTAGCTATCAAAAAAGATCTGGACATTTGTAAATCATTAAAAAGGCGGAAAATTTAAAAAAATGTTTTTGGTGTGAATTTGTAAACAAATTTTTTTCGTGAACTTTTTTTTAAAAGACAGACGACAGTTTGAACGTTACATACTTCTTGACACCCCCCCCCCCCCCCCCTATGTTACATTTTGTTACAATTTTTCAAACCCCCCCTCCCCCCTAAAATGCGAACGTAATAAGTGAACGACCCCTTATCTGTCATTAAGATAGAAAAATTCTTCCTTTTCCCAAAGTAATAGATGTCATAAATGATCGACCCCTAATTGAATGCTCAACATGACATAACAACAATAATTTACACTTGTTGAATTTGTTTTATATTTATTGCAATATCATTAAAAAGGAAAATTGGAATAAAACTGACAATGATAAATGATTGATGGTGGGAAAAAAAGCAGTGAAAGATTCATTAATAACAATAACATTGAATAATACCTAATATTGGAAACTTGAGTTGTGCTTTTATAAAATATGATGACAAAAAAAACATGAACTATTTAAGTATTTAAGGATGTACTCGTGACGAAAAAACACTGATTCATGATCATCATTTTTGATCACTTTGTGGCTATTAATTTTATATGCAAATTTTTTATTTCCTCCTCTGCATCATAAATCCAATCATTATAGCATAATTTTGTGTGAACATCACTATTTGATGACTAATAAAATTAGAAGCAATTTTTAGAGAACCTCATAAGACACTTATGCTCAATATGTCAATCAAGAATAAGCATCAAGTTTTTTACACAAAATTATGCATAATAATAATTGATATCTAGCAGTTATTTTAGGCTTATTGGAAGAACATTCAAGAAGTGCATTAACTGAATTTGATAATATTTTTCATTGCTTCTTCCAATGCTCCAAATCTAACTGATCCAGCAATGATCCTCAATCCTTAAAAGTTTTCATTTACCGAATGAAAATTTACTTCTATTTATAACGATATTTGAATATAATCTGTGAACTCTACTATTAAGTATATATGACTTACATAATCGATAATGGAGAACAAAAAAATCAATGGCTAGCTGTCTTTATGATAAAAAATATTTACTAAGAAATTCATGTAACATTTATTATCATTTCGTGTAAATCGACATTCTGCAAGACCTTTAGTTTTTTTTAATGCACTTACTATAAACTTTTCTAGAAAGACACACACACACACACAAAAGATTAATTTAGCTAGATTAAAATTTCTATGTGTCTAGTTAAAGTCTAAAATATTATTTTTAAAGGAACAAAATTGCGCATAACAAGCCATCATTTAATTTTGGCTTAACGTTTTTTTTATTAAACTAATTGCGTACTCTAACTTTTGGCTGACATTTTTGTGCTATAAAATTTAAAATTAATTTGTTATGTTTGGTTCTTTTTAATTTTATTAACTTATGCTTACTATTTAAGAAGTAAAAATTTCCTAATTTATTATTCGAATGTGTTTACACATCAAGTTTTGGTGAAATGAAAATAAAGTCATTTGTATTTATCCGAAACAGAAACTTAATATTGTTTTTTCTTAAAAAACTTTCATTATTTTTCAGCAACAACCTTTATGATGGATAATAGAAATATAAAAGATATTTAAAAAAATCAATTATAAATCGATGAAGCTTGAATAATAAAAATTCTCTTAGATGAACTCTAACTTCAAAAAATTACAATTACAGGCCAAACTAAGAGTTCCAAATACTTTTGAATTTGATCCAATAATTGTAAACTTTTAAAATTGTTTGATTATCTCTGTAGAATTTTCGTTTGAATAGCGATCGATGATTTGATTCATAAACTAAAGTGAAGTGTGTTAGACTGCATATTTTGAAGTTATAGAGTGTCAAATGCAGTCTCAAGCACATCACTTTCGGAAAGTGAACTGATTTCATCGTTACTCTCAGTTTATTATTCAGCCAGTTTACCATCAGATCAACAAATATTTCAGTGTCAACAGAAGAATTAATGCTCAATTCCGGAATAATGAGAATGAACTTATAAATCATTCAAAACAACTACAAATTCATGTCATAATTCAAACATAAAGCATTCATTTAAATTAACACTTGTTATAGTAAAAAGCAAAAATCGACGAGTTTAAATTTAAAAATATTGCAATTATTAGCCAAAGGAAGAATTCTAAACTTATCTCAATTTGCCCTAATAATTGCGAATTTTTCAAATTTTTTCATCTGAATAAATTTTTAGGATAAAACTATTTTTTTTTCATATGCTGATTCTATTCAAATCCTATAGTGATGATTCTTAGACTGCAGATATTAAAATGATTATCAACTTATGCAATCGTAACTACATCACAATAGGGCAGTGAAAATTTTGAAAAAAACTCTTAAGTTCTTGTTGATGCTGATTGTTGAAACAAAATCTCAAATTCATAAGATCGTTGTTCTTAATTAGAATAATGAGAAAGAACTTATAAATTTCAAAACAGTCACAAGCTCAAATCATTATTCGAATCAAAAACAGCTCAATCTATTGCAAGATAAGTCAACCAAGTTATTGTTTCTAAATTTTGAGAATGTCACAATTATTTCACTTCCAATTCACTTTTATCTTGATAGTTCTTTAAGTTGATGATTTTCTTCGAAACCTAGAGCGATGTGGACTTAGACTGCATCTTGTCAAATAATACTAAAGAATTTGTCATGCAGTCTCGTACACATCACTAAAGGATAATGAATACAAATTTAATCGAACTCTTATTGTTGAATAACACTTTTAATGAAATTACTGACGGATGGATAATAAATTAATTTAAAAACACGAATAAATCCGAGGTAACAGTTGGTTAGATCTTAAAGGTTTCCTCGGAAATAGCCGTGAATTTAATTTAATTTTTTGGCATGATACAATCAGTTTCACAAATAAAAATCACGGCAATAACAGAAGAGTAATTAGAAAAATTTATCAAGTCATTTCATACTTGCTATCTCTTTGAATTTCTCGAGGACAGCAGAAATGAAATGAATGAAAATTTTTCTAAGTTTATAAAACTATTGAAAAAAAAAGAAAAAAAAATTTCCTTTTAAATAACCACGAGAAACTTTAAATTTCTAGCACCGATCAACAGTGTATTTAAGAGACTGATTTAGATTAAAAAATAAAATTCAAATGAGTGCCACAAGAACTTGATCATATTTTAAATACTTGATCATTTTGCAGAAGAAGAAGGCGGAGCAAAAATTTTAAAATCCAGTGGACCAATTATGATGAAAAGAAGCCTATCTTATGTGATGATCATTCAAATAAGATTATAAGAAAGAGACGAAAGGAGAATCCAGAAGGAGAACATAAATCGGATGTAATTTGAATATTGAAGGAATGAACATAAAATGTTTATGTGTAAAAAGTGAAAGATATGCAGCATAAATGCAATTGTTCTGGCTTGTGTTTTCTTTTGAAAAGGAAAAGTCGTAAAAATTTGCACCACACGCAGATTCTTTGGACGAGTGCATTTCTTTGGTATCAAGTTACTCTTTATTTTATTATAGCTTAATTTTATGTCCACAGAACATTCTTTTATATTGACAAAATAAACAAACTGTTAAATCATAAGTAGACTAGAGCCTACATTTCTCATTCAGGGAATAAAAATTACTGATGCCACTTGAGATATTCTCAGAAAAAAACAGCACATGATAACCATTTAAATTTTCTATCAAAGCATGTATTTAATTACATTTTTATTTGTTGTTCATAAAAATGTCAAAATCATCACAATATTTGGATATTTCGTTTCTGGTTCCTCATGGATATAAATTTAATGATAAAATTTTGAAGAATCTCCAAAATTCTTTTGTGAAAGCAAATTTTAAGGCTAGATCCAATGAAGAATTTGGCTTAGCATGCAAGATAATCAACAAAAAGAACCAGATACACGATGATAAATACATTGACATTTTAAAGGCAATATCACATCCAAATATTGTCAATGTGCATAGCATTTACCAGAAAAATGAACTTCTTTTTGTCTTCACGGAATGGATTGATGATGACAACTTATTGAAAATTATACGACAAAATGGAAGTTTGGATGAAAATTCTGCAAAAATTTGGTTCCATCAAATTCTTTTGGGATTGAAATATTTTCATGATAAAAACGTAGCACATTGCAACTTATCGTGCGCGAAAATGATGATCAGAAGCAATAACATCAAAATATCTGGTCTGAAATATTTAAGAAGCACTAAAAGTCAAGAATCAATTCAGATGAAGAGTCCATTAAATATGCGGTATCGAGCACCTGAAATCAACTTAAATTTGCCATTTAATCCTCAAACTGCTGATATTTTCTCAATGGGAATCATTCTTTTTGTTATGCTGAATGCAATGTTTCCTTTCAACTCGTCCGACATCAATGAACTTGTTGAAGACCAAAATAAGCAAAGGTATTCCTTCCGAGCTTCAAACATCCACAAATTATCAATTGAATCTCAGGTAACTGTTCATACACTTCTCGAGCCTAATCCAAATTTAAGGTGGAATGTCGATAAAGTTTTAAGTCTTGATTGGTTCAATAAAAATGATTAAGGAATTCAACAGCGACGAGAATTGAAGAATTGGCAATTTTTTTTATCTTTATTCATTTCTTTATATTTCGAAATAAATTCTTTGTGTCACTTTTATGGGTTCGCTGTGTCTACATTGTTTGAAAATAGAATTGTCAACTTCAAAACATTTTACAATTAGTGACTTGAAAGCGTTTACTTATGAAATACTAGTTGTTGCTTGTTGTAATTAAATTCTAGTCAAAAAAGTCATTAGTATATTCTTATGCTAATTTCTATTGTCCTCTTAGTTCGTAGCATGTCACTTTGTTGGCTTGTAAAATTATATTAATTTTTAAATGTTTTTTTTTTTTTTGAATATCAAAATAAATTTTTATCATTGTGTTAAACTAGTTCACTGATTAAGTTACTAGCCAGCCCTCCTCGTTACAAAATCACCCCCACATCCTCAAAAAGTGAACGAAATAAGATAATTAAGAGTAAGCTAGGAATGGTCATTAAACTTAAAATAATCCTAAATGCTCAAAATAAAAAAAAATGTTTGCGATTAGTTTACTGCCTTTGCATTGGTACATAATTCAGATTATTTTGAATTCAAAATGAAATTACAGAGTAGCTTGATTAAAGTGTTACATTGACAACAATGTGCACTAAAATGGAAATTGTTGCAGCATCGGAACAATATAATAATTCACAATTTAATGCTCTTTTTATAAAAATGGAAACTCTCTAAGGGGCCGTTCACTTATTACGTTACGCAAAAAAACGACTTTTTTCACCCCCCTCCCCCATTGTTTTGTTACAATATGACACAACTCACCCCCCCCCCCCCCCCTGAACGTTCATAATTTATTTTATTTTGATAATTTTTCATAAATCATTAAAAAGGTGGAAAATTTAAAAAAATGTTTTTGGTGTGAATTTGTAAACAAATTTTTTTCGTGAATTTTTTTTTAAAAGACAGACGACAGTTTGAACGTTACATACTTCTTGACACCCCCCCCCCCCCCTTATGCGAACGTAATAAGTGAACGGCCCCTAATCACGGATCTACTTTGCAATCTAATTTATTGATGACAATGAACTTGATAAATTTAGAGTAATTGTTAACAAATGACGTGCTCCAGAAACAATGTGCAAACACATTTTAGTCATAAAGGTGATGTGCTATTTTTAGAATTTCATTTTTTCATCAAGTAAAGTCCCGTCAAGTCATATTAAATAATAAATATTCATCTCCACTGAGTCATGAAATAACATTGACGGCTGTAGCTATAATCAATGCATATTAATTTGCATTATATAAAGTTTTCAACACAATTCTATTATTCACTCGTAAACATAGAGTTCTGTCCTAGTATTACATCAATGAGAAACAATTGAATAAATAATATCACGCCGCCGTATTTCCCAATCAAAATATTTATATGCATGTGAATTAAGTACATCTCTTTTATCTTATTTCCATGCCATACACTGATCTTTGTGTATGTTTACATTTTCAAACAAATAATTACAAAGGACTGGAATTTGATAAGAATCGATATTTGAATTAGTATAATTGGATGCAATCTTATCATGAAGGGTGATATGCTTTCCCGTCAATATTATCTTATCGCGCGCTTTTTTTGACTACGCTCACATTTGAACGCCTAGGTATACTTACAATAGAATACATTAATCAAGTATTGTTGAAATGAAAATTTTTGTAAAAAAAAATTTTTTGCAGTTGAATGTGAGCCGCCGTCGTGTTCATAATGATTTCAAAGTTCTATCGGTATCGATTTTTGTGGATAACCTTGCTATCTCTTCTAACAGTTGTATTTATCGGCAATTTATACTATAAATCAGTTCAAGAAATACAAGTATTAAAAATATCTAGAGAGGATTTAATACATAAGCTGTAAGAATCAAATTAAGTGGCAAATAATTTTAATTCCAGACAGATTAGTGACATTCAAAAAAATGTTTTTGATTAAATTCAGTGTTGTTGGAACTTTGTATTGTGGCACGATTATTTAAGGGAACAAGGAACACGAAGATGCATTAGAAAAATTGTTAAAGATGCATGCACGACTATTTTTACAATCTTAGAGTTCATTAAGGTGTCCACAAGGTTTATGTTTGCTAACAAATAAGCCTCGAACTGCCAAAATTTTTAAATAATAGTGATTCTGAAGATTTAAGGCAGAAATATTCCTTTATGTAGGTTTTGTTTTTTAAACATTAATCCAGAGCTCGAAGTTGACTCGAGTTGACTCGGGTTTTTTCGAGTCAACTCAACTTTTCTCGACTCGACTTCATTTTTTCGGAGTCAACTCCGAATCGACCAGAACCCTATCGAAGCATTAATCTTTAAAATACATCATTTGTAAACGACGCCATGTATTACTTTTAAATTAAAGCTAAATTTTGCGGTAGGTCAGGAATTGTGCTATAGTCACAAAATGTTTGGAACATACAAAATTATTTGATACTAATGATAAGATATGATTCATTTCGCCATATAATAATTATACACTTATAAATCTCAAATCCATTTAAACGTTATAATCGCAGGCATGATATCGCTAAAATGAATGAGTTGGTTAACAATAAAATTGATGTTCCGACGAGCGATGAAAATCAAGTACTAGATAATGAAAATAATTACACGGTTAATAACAATGAGTGTACAGTGATTGATGAAACAAACGCGACAATTAAAGCTGTAGATATGTTTTCAAATTTTGACTTTGACGCTGATTGGGTCAAAAGAAGAGAAGGAATTTGGCAAGATGATTTTGAAAATCGATATTCGAATCAGATTAGAAACAAAAGTTGGTTTCCATTAAAAGTATTCATCCTTCCTCATTCTCACACTGATCCCGGTTGGCTGCAAACATTTACTAGCTACTATAATACACAAACGAAGAAAATTTTAGATTTGGTTGTTGAAAAATTGACAGAACATCAAGACATGAGATTCATATGGACAGAAATAAGTTTCTTAGATCTTTGGTGGAAGCATGCAACCGTAGTGCAACAAAAAGCATTGACAACTCTTGTGAAAAGTGGCCGACTTGAGATAATGACAGGAGGTTGGGTTATGACTGATGAAGCAAATGTTCATCTTTATGCAATGTTAGATCAGCTGATTGAAGGACATCAATGGGTTAAATCTAAATTTGATGTTGCACCAAAAGTCGGATGGAGTATTGATCCTTTTGGTCAAGGAAGTACTGTTCCTCATTTATTAGCCAAAAGTGGATTTGATGGTGCAATAATCCAAAGAATTCATTACAACTGGAAGGAAGTAAGATAAACCATTAATTTGTTTCTAAACATTTGTATGATAATTTTTATCATTTTTAACAGTGGCTTGCAAGACATCAATCTGGAGATTTCTTTTGGAAAACTTATTGGACAAATGTGAAAAGTAATGAGTATACATTACTGACTCACAACATGCCATTTGATATTTATTCAACTCGTCATTCATGTGGACCGCAACCAAAAGAGTGTGATGCATTTGACTTTACACATCGATCTCCTCCACAGCTAAGTGATAAACTAATTGAAAAGAAGGCTGACGTTTTAATGCAACAATATTCAAGAACTGCCTCGTTATTTCCACATAATGTTGCCTTAGTACTGATGGGAAGTGACTTTACATTTCAAGATGAAAAGTTTTTCAAAAATCATTATTTTGGATACAAACCAATAATGGAATTCATCAACAGCAACAGTGCTTCCCGATATAATGGAGCAACAGTTCAATACGGAACTCCTTCGGACTACTTTAATGAAATCAAAAGTCGTCTTGGAAATAAATTTCCAACCTTAATCGGTGATTTTTTCCCTTATTCTGACATTTTCAGTTCAGGACTTCCAGCATATTGGACTGGATATTTTACTACAAGACCCTTTCATAAATTTATGAGTCGTGATCTTGAACATAACTTGAGAAATGCTGAAATTCTTTTTACAATAGTAATGAATAGAATGAAGCAATCCGGTCGGATGCAAGAATCTCTAGAAAACTTCATAAAAAAATATGAGAATATAATTGAAGCTAGAAGAAATCTCGGTTTGTTTCAACATCATGATGCAATAACTGGCACTAGTAAGAAAGCAGTCATGAGGGATTATTTGGAAAGACTTTACTCATCAGTTAAACATGTTGTGTCTATTCAACAAGAGTCTATAGAATTTTTATTGCAACCAGACTTCAAAAATTTCAAGAGTTCAATAATTGAACATGAGTTACAACGTCCTAATGCAGAGGAATTTCCAACACAAAAAGTTTTGACGGTGACTAAAGAAAGTGATGAGAAAATTGTGATATTTAATTCTTTAGTTCAAAACCGTGTGGACGTAATTTCAGTTTTTGTATCAACGACTAATGTGAAAGTTATTAGTACTGATGGGAAAGACTTGCTGTATCAAATAAATCCAATATTTGATAGAAAAAATGACTTTGAGCCTTCAAATCATAATTATCAATTGCTTTTTTTAGCAGAACTGCCGCCTTTATCTTTAAGTACATTTATAGTAAAACATTATAGTACTCCAAAAATATCAGAAGTGACATGCAAAAATTGTAGCCGAACCGAGTTTCAGTCGACCAAAGAAGTACTTTATGTTCAAAATTCCAAAATGAAACTAATTTTTGATTCTAAAGGATTTTTAAGTGAAGTTAAGCTTAATGAAGGAAGTAATAATGTAAGATTGGCGATTGATTTTGGAGCATATAGAAGTGCTCCTGGAAGATCTGGTGCTTATCTTTTTAAACCTAAAGATCAAGAATTGGAAGATTTAATTGTAAAAACTCCACCGAAAGTTTTTATTGTTGAAGGTCCAATCGCATCCGAAATAACAGTCATTTATGGTGAACTTTTGTCTCACACTGTAAGAATTTTTAAATCGGATACGCACCTTGACGATGCAATTTTAATTTTAAATGATATTAACTTTGAAGTTCCTCCAAGAAATCGAGACATTGAAATGATCATGAAAATTAAAACATCAATTGATAATTCTAAAAATGGTGAGCCTGAATTTTTTACAGACGAGAATGGATTCCAGTGGCTACCAAGAAGAAAAGTCTCTAAACTTGGAGTTGAAGGAAATTACTATCCAATTACAACAAGTATGTTTATTCAAGATGATTTCAAAAGGCTGACATTAATGACTACACATGCTCAAGGTGCCACAAGCTATAAAAAAGGAGAACTAGAAGTTATGCTGGATAGAAGAACTGCTTATGATGATGGACGTGGAATGGGCGAAGGAGTTTTGGACAGCGTAAAGATGCAGCATAAGTTTTGGCTAGCATTAGAATTTTTTGAAACCACCAAATCTGATTCTCAAGCATATCAAGTTCCAAGTCTTTTTTCCCACCATCTTATAAACTCTCTTAATTATCCTGCTAATGTCTACTTCTTGAACGAACAATTAAATGAAGAACTCCAAAGTCAAATTAATCTATTAAGTTATAAATTTTCATGTGATGTAAATTTAGTCAACCTTAGATCATTAAGTCATTATGAAAATGAATTACTTCCATCAAAATCTTCATTATTGATTCTTCACCGGTTAGGACATGATTGTCAATTGATAAATGATGAATTTCAGAATAGAATATGTTCAAAACTTATAGATGATGAAAATAATCAATTTATTAGACATGTCAAAATTGACAAAATACAGGAATCATCATTAACTGGTTTAGAAGTAGAAAACAGCATCACAAAGCTCAATCAAAAGACTTTTGCTCCAATGGAGATAAAAACTTATTTTATTACTTATCAATAAATTATTACATTTAAGATGATTGTGAGGTGACTGAATTGTTTAAATAAAAATACCAAAAGCTAAATTTTTGGCAGTTCCTTTTTATGACATTTTACTGCCAGTTTCATATAATCATATTTTTGTTTCATAAATATTCGTATGCGCCTCATTACGACAACTTCAATATGTGTTTATAAGAATCTCTTATAACAAGAATTTAACACCCGAACACTACATATATCTATATTCCAGTCAGCCTCTTGTTGTTGCATCATTGGGGGCATTTTCATGACAACAGCAACCCATTCTATTCTACCTATTCTATATAGATTGCCCGACCCTTACTTACTCTTAGTTATCCTACGATGGATGGGGAAGGAGGGGAGGGTAGGGTGGGTTGCTGAGTAGCTCCAAAAACCGGCCCCAGTTGGAAAAAAATCTTTTTTACAGCTTGGATATGATTTTTACAGCTATATCGTTTGTTTATATATTAAATAGTTTTAGTTAAAAGTGACATAATATGTTTTGATCTCCATCGGTTTCATGATATTTTTATACAATGACTTGACATTTTTGTTTATTTTAAGACCTGTAAGCGATGCCTCCTGAATTTGACTTATTTTCGCCAATTTAGTTATTTGATTATCTTTAATATTATTATTTCGAGAACAAATTAATTCTTGGAAGTTTTCATTCGATAACTGACATTCATGCCCCATACGATGAAGAATCAATAAAGAAGAATCTGATGGGAGCCATTCTAAGTCAATGTGTGTTATTGATCTCAAATTAATTAAGTTTATGTCACAAGGAAATTTGTAATTAAATAGTTCAATTTGATTATGAAGCTTGGCATCAATTTTACTGTCTACATGAAATATATTTATTGGATGATTTAAAGAATTTATTAAATGATGAACAAGTAGACTTGGCACTTGATAATTTTCTGTAGCATCAACGGCATCAAAAAGTTCAAGAATAAGTATAAATTTATGCTGCATTTTTACACTGTCTAAAATTCCTTCTCCCAATCCACGATAGTCATCATTTGTTGTTCGTCTATCTAACATTACTTCTAGTTCTCCTTTTTGGAAGCTTGTTGCGCCTTGAGCATGTGTAGTCATTAATGTCAACCTTTTGAAATCATCTTGAATAAACATGCTTGTTGTAATTGGATAGTAATTTCCTTCGACTCCAAGTTTAGAGACCTTCCTTCTTGGTTGCCATTGAAATCCATTCTGGTCTGTGAAAAATTCAGGTTCGCCATTTTTAGAATTTCCAATTGAAGTTTTAATCTTCATGAAAATTTCTTTGTCTCGATTTTTATCTTCACTTCCAAAATCAATTTCATTTTTAATAGAAATTGTCTCATCAAGATAAGTTCCTGTATTGTATATTCTTATAGTTTGTGTCAATAGATCACTGTGTACCACAGTTATGTCTGAAGCAATTTTTCCTTTTGTTACAACGATTCGAATCTGTGAAAAGTCTTCAAATAAAGTTTTATCTTCACTTTCTGGTTTGAACAGGTATGCACCTGATTGGGTGTATGCACTGTTATAGGCACCAAAAACAATTTCAGTTTTTAGCATTTTATCCAAACTCTTAACGTAAATATGTCTTAAAAATCCTGAAGTGTCATTAAAAATCAGTCGCATTTTGGAATTTTCAATTAATGGCTCTTCTTCCTCAAAATCTGTAATTATTTCTGCAATCTTGTCCTTGTCTCCATTTTTATCAAGGACGACTTTTAAGACAGTTAATGAAAAAGCTGGCAAGTCAACACGGATCAATAATTCCTTTATATCAACAATTCGTCCATATTGAATCACAGGATTTATTTGAAAATGTAAGCTTCTTCCATTCTCGTCAATTACTCTTACTTTTACTTCAGAAACATAAATAGAAATGACATCGACTCGTTTTGATGCCAGAGAATTAAGAAGAATAATTTTTTGTTCCTTATTCTCTTTCGACAAATGAATTATTTTCTTTTCGGGCATTTTTGTGTCCAAATCAGTCTCAAATTCATAAAATATAAAATTTCTCTCTTTTTCGTGACTTCTCTGTAATAAGAATTCAATCATTTGCTGTTGAATGCTTATTGAGTTGTTGATTGATGTTTGTAATCTAGTAAGATGATCTCTCATAACTAAATCTTTACTTGTTCCAGTTATCGAATCATGATGCTGAAACAGTCCTAAATTTCTTCGAGCCTTAAAAAAGATTTAATTAATTTTATCTGAAATTTGTAACTCCAAATTTATTTTCGATACCTCAATAATCAGTTGATAATCCTTCTCCATTCTCTTTGAATCATTAAAACTCGACTTTGATTGCCTTGCCTTATTGTATGCTATACTGTAAAGAATTTCTGCACTTCTAAGATTATGTTCCAGATTTCTACTCAAAAGCTTATAAAATGGTCTTGTTGTATAATATCCTGTCCAGTAAGCTGGTGTTCCAGACGAGAAAATATCAGCATATGGAAAGAAATCTCCAGTAAGTGTTGGAAAATCTCCCTCTTGTCGTTTTTTAATTTCATGAAAATATTCTGAGGGGGTTCCGAACTGCATGGTTGATCCATTGAACATTGATATGCTGTTTTTATTGACAAAGTCAATTAATTTCTTATAATTTTTATACTGCTGCATAAACTCTTCTTCACTTTTGAAAGTAAAATCATCTCCAACAAGGACAAGTGCTTCATTATGGGGAAATAGTGAAGCAGTTTTGGCATATTGCTCGATTGCCATTTCAGCATACGATTGTATATTTTTATCAGTAACTTTTTGGAAATTTCCTAAAGGAACTTTATCAACATATCGATAAAAGTTCATCTGATTGCATCTTTCTTCATCAGGTCCGCACGATTTTCCAGTAGAGTATAAATCAAATGGCATGTTGTGAGTCAGTAAAGTATAGTCTTTATCATCCCAGAGTGATTTCCAATAAAATTCTTCATACTGATGTCTTGCAAGCCACTGTTGGAAATGATAAAAATTATCATACAAATTTTTAGAAACAAATTAATGGTTTATCTTACTTCCTTCCAGTTGTAATGAATTCTTTGGATTATTGCACCATCAAATCCACTTTTGGCTAATAAATGAGGAACAGTACTTCCTTGACCAAAAGGATCAATACTCCATCCGACTTTTGGTGCAACATCAAATTTAGATTTAACCCATTGATGACCTTCAATCAGCTGATCTAACATTGCATAAAGATGAACATTTGCTTCATCAGTCATAACCCAACCTCCTGTCATTATCTCAAGTCGGCCACTTTTCACAAGATTTTTTAATGCTTTTTGTTGCACTGCAGTTGCATGCTTCCACCAAAGATCTAAGAAACTTATTTCTGTCCATATGAATCTCATGTCTTGATGTTCTGTCAATTTTTCAACAACTACATCAAGAATCAATTTTGTTTCAGTCTCATAATAGTTGATAAATGTTTTCACCCATCCAGGGTCTGTATGAGAGTGAGGAAGTATGAATACCTTCAACGGCAATCTACTTCCATTAACTTTTAAATCTTCATATTTATTTTCAAAATAATCATTCCAAAATTTTTGATCTTTTATCCAATCAGCATTAAAGTCAAAAGATGAAAATATTTCTTTTGTGTTGATTGTTGCTTTCGAATGCTTTAATGATACACATTTATCTGTAAGCCTGAAAAATAATGCGTTGGTTCACTAATGAAAATATCCTGAAATCCTTAATGTTTGATCATTCACATACTTTTCAGTTTTTATGTTAAATGCATAATGAAGACATTTAATCAAACTGATACTAATTAAAGCAACAAATAAAAGTTTACGAGAGTTTCTATAATTTATATGCATCTTATTTAAAAGTAATATTCCAAACAATACTTAACTAAAACACTTGAGCTACTAATTTTTATCTTTGAAAACTTACTTTAGTCAACGTGCTGAAAGTTTCAGTGAGTAACTTATAGATGAAGTAATTTTAATACACATTTTATTGAGTCTGTAAGTGAACAGGTGAATCAATATTTTTGAGCGTACACTGAAATTGAGAGTTTAGAAAATTTCATGGTCTAGTTCAGTGATATTCAACTTTTGGCTCTTGAATTTTGCAAATAAAGCTTTATTGATGCTGAAAAGTTAAAAAAATTAAAAAGTCAATAATATTCAAAAAATTTGTTGATTGGCACCGAATATTAACCGTTTCGTGGCACTTAATTTACTTTTGGAATTTCATGACATAGTTTAACAAATCACGTTGAGTTATGATTCCAATGATAATTTCTTTAGTAATAAGTTCACTGTTTGCATCTATAGAATTGGATTGAATAAAAATTAGTCAACTTATCAAAAATATCAAATAAATCAAACTTACATTCTTTCTGCTTTTGGATAACCAAGACATATGGATCCTTTTCTAAAATCCTTGACAAACGACCAATTGTTGTATCCAATGTAACTTTAGTGAATTTCTTGAAAACTGCTTTATCGATAGTGTCAGTTGCTTTTAAACCGAAGTTAAGCATGCGATTTACGAGGTGATTAATTGTAGCCATTCCTTTTGCACTTCCATTGCTATCGATGACTGGAATCTGATCAATATCTTCATTATGCATAATGTCGATAACTTCTTGGCATGTCACACTTTCAGTGACTGTTAATGGTGGTCTCAATTGCAAATTTGCGACGCTGTTATTCCACCATGAATGCTCCTCAGTATTAACTGATTCTCTTAAATCTCTAGCTTCCATCCAATTATCAACAACAAACTTGGTCATATAATTACGGATGTTATCTGGTAAAATAACAACACAGGTTTGGTCTTCTCTCAACTCTTTCGCTGCTTCAATTGCACATGCCATTGCAGATCCACTTGAACCTCCGCATAAAAATCCTTCTTCAGCAATAAGTCTTCTTGCCATTGGAAGTGATATTCTGTCGTTACTCTTCATCCATTTGTCAACAACAGAACGATCCAAAACTGTCGGAATGAAGTCATATCCAATGCCTTCGACTTCATACATTGAAACATCTGTTTTGTTCAACTGTTCTGGCTGAGCAAGGATGGAACCTTCTGGGTCTACACCTACAACAAGGCATGTTGGACATTCATCCTTAATCTTACGTCCAATTCCAGCAATAGTTCCTCCAGTACCAGCACCACATACAACCATATCTACTTTTCCATCAAGTTGATATAAAATTTCAGCACCAGTTCCATCGTAATGAGCAAGTGGATTGCCACAATTTCTATACTGATCTGGGATCCATGAGTTTGGAATTTCTCTTTGAAGACGTTGAGCTACAGCAATCAATGAATCAGGTTGATCATATGAAGCTTCAGTTGGAGTTCTAATAATTTCAGCTCCAAGACCTCTCAATGTGTTGACCTTTTCATCAGACATCTTTTCTGGCATGACAATAATGCAACGATAGCCACGAACAGCACAGGCCATTGCTAATCCAACGCCAGTATTTCCAGAAGTAGGCTCAATGATTGTTGAACCTGGTTTAAGAATTCCTTTAGATTCAGCATCCAAAACCATTCGATAACCAATACGATCTTTCACCGATCCACCAGGATTTAAAAATTCACATTTTGCATCTACAAACATTTTTCTCCTGTTTAGTCTGGTTTAAAATTTTAAAAATAAAATGTCCATGAACTTACACATTTGACATTTCACACCCAACGATTGAGGAATATGATTAAGTTTGACAAGTGGAGTCATTCCAATAGCTTCAAGAATATTATTCATCACCTTTGGACGTTCCTTACTAAAAGTATAACAAATATAAAATTTTCTTATCAGATGTCATAGTTAGTGCCATAAATAACATTATGTTTCGACTTTGATTAATGATGCCGTTCAAGATTTTTTAGACACTGATAACTTTTGCACTACATACGTTCGTAAAGTCTAAAAATTACGTATTATATGGGTTATCAAGACCGCCATTTCTATGAACAGAACTCACGCGATCATTTTTGAGTCTCATTATCAGACAAAAGCAGAGAAATTTCAAGGTCGTCGAGAATGAAATTTTTAAATAATTGACTTACATCGGTCTCTTTTCATGAGGCGATTCCGTTTGTTTACTTTTGTCATTTGTCCATGTGCATTTTGATGGGAGATTTGGCAAAACAAAGTCAGGTGGGAGAACTTTCGGTAAATCTTTGAGAATCTTGTATGGACACAAGTTTGCTGTTCCGTTTGCTTCAGACATTTTGACTTCTGTCAAAGTATTAAATTTATTAATAGAATTAAAAACCACGTTTTGCACTATAAATCACAATTTTAAACAGCATATTATGAAACTTTAATCAACCACGATTGTCTATCAATTATCATAAAATTCTTAAACTGCTTGAATACTTACGAAAAAATCTAGAATAGAATTGTTCTGTAATCTGAGAACTAAAGAAATTAATGGAAACGTCAGCAACTGATCAGTTGAGAAACTTCAATCGAAATGAGCATAGCCGGTTCATATCACATACTTTTTGTACTTTATTCTCACAACTTACACGAATTGAGATTCTCTCTGTGACTCTCAATTGCAATTTTCTCGTGAGTTGATGAGAAAAACAAAAACTGCAGTTCCAATTGAGAGAATAAACAAAGGAACTGTAAACAAAAGTTTCCAAAAACAGATATAGAATAATTTTCTGAAAGAAAGTTGTAACCAACTGGCATAGCATTTGACAACAACACAACTATTAAGCACTGGAAGAATCAAAAGAGAAAGAAAGAGAATCTCAGAATATTCTTCAAAATAAAGCTAAAGAACAATTTATGCTTAAAATTCCACAACTTGGCGGTAAATAGTAATGACGATGAAAAACTTGTTTTGTGTTATGTTTTTTCTTTTCCATCTTAGTCAATCCGAATATTTTGGATAGATTTAAATTGTTATTAAAATGTTTGAGATTCATATTGATAATTTGTTGATAGAAATTTATGGAAATTCAATCCTATTTTTAAAGATATTTTCCCATTATGTATAAATTTCATTCTTAGTTCATTGAACTTACAGCTATGGATGAATGAACAGAAATAAATTGTAAGACTTCTTATCAATGGTTTCAGATGTAATTTTGTAAGATTCGCGAATGTTTCTACAAATAAAAAGTATTGAGGCTTACACTATTAATTAATGTACGCTAAACCTGAAATTTGTTCAAATGAGTGATTTGATACGAGATCTTCTGCATTGAAAAATAATTAGTATATACTCTGTGAAAAACAACTAGTCTGCCTCGCTCTAATAACGCTCACTAAAGTTCATGTAAATTAATAATTGAGACTAGGTGACAGTGCTAATAACTTTGCAATCTGACAATAATTAAAAGATTTATCTTTCATTTTAAACTTTCCAACTTTCCATTTATTTTAATCAAACATGACCAAATTAGATAACAAAAAAAAATAAAAATAATTAAAGTTGACTATCGTTAAAGCTTTATGAAATACACAATCGATGATAGAATCATATACAAGGATATTACATACGTAATGTAGAAGCAAATAGCTCGGAATGGTTGTTGTACCTGGCATACATAAATAATTGAATGAGCAATTCTTGAGAGTCCTACAATTCGTATGAGCCAAGATGCAAAAATTTCATTCGGCTCTGAGAGAATGAATAAAAAGCAAATTATTATGAATGGAACTACATTTTCAAGGTCATTCAAATGTGCTCTCCTGACTCTTTCAACATCATCGTTGATTTTCACTTCAAAGTTTTTATTCCAAAATACATCTTCTGGATTCATCGATGCCTTTAGATACCAAATAGAACTCACATTAACATAATAGAAATTTTCATTTTAAAGCATTAAGGTTCTCACATTATTTTTGAATCTATGATAGACTGTTACAATAGTCATTAGCATAACTTTTATTAATAAAATTCCACTCCACGTTATAAATATGCAAAATGTAGCATTGTTAGCATTCAAAACATCCAGCACGGCCATTTCCAGTACTGCTTTAATTTCCGGTTTCTTTTTGTAGCTAGTCACTGTGTCACAAATGAAAAATATTCTATGACTTTTTCTAAACAAAACAAGAATTAAAAATCAAATCTATCTGAACGCGTGCAACTTGTTTGAAAATATGAAAGCAACTAGCGGTAGATGAGGTGGAGTTGTGAATAAAAAAAAAGTTCTGTTGAAAAAAAAAATTAAGAATGTATCTTAAAAGCCTAACGTAAAAATATTCATTGCTGTTGTTTCTCTCTTCTCATTCTCTTTTTATCTGTCATTCGTAGTGCTGTTAAACTGTAATTTTTTTCGTATATTAACTTCCACGCATGGCGTGTGTTGTTTTTGGTTTTTGAGTCTACATAAGGTTTTTCGCCATTCTAAAGAGAATTAAGCATTTTTAACCCATACAATGCAGATTAAAACTTGAGGAAATAAAATTACGCATTAAATGGCATAAACATTTTTTCGATCAGTTCCACCATGAAGGCACTGAAACCAAAAAACAAGTCCTCATAAATCAACAAATTTTGTGGACAGTGGATGAGTCTACAAATGCAAATCGAAAAAATTCTACTTCCAATATACCTACTTAAATTTATAAAATTAACACTCAAGAAATTTTAAAAATTGTACTCAAAATTATCCAATCGAAATCGCAACTTCTTTTTATCGGCTTCTTTTCGATTCAAATAGAGAAGTTCACAGAACTCACTACCAGTAAGCCAACAGAAAACGGAAATCCTACCGTTTAGATCCACTGAACAGAAAGTCAACTAATTTTAATGCCACTGGCACGTTCCCCACAAACCAATTTTTAACTGGTAATTCCTTACGCATGATTTTCAATTATGAATGTCTGGATCTCGTTAAGGTGTTGCTGCGATGATCCTTCATTTTTGTTTTGGATGTTCCTTTTTCATAGGTAAAAATCGGCTGGGTTAGTATATTTTTTTAAATTTATTATGTCCTTTCAATGGGCTAAGCTTGTTGTTTTAACTCATTATGTCATCTGCTGTTCATTCGTCTATTGATATTTTTACTTTTTGATGCTAGTGGTGTTAAAATTTTTGACATACAGTCAGAACTTGCAGATGCTTCCTGCTTAATTATTGCTGCAGCTGTTTCTAATTGCTCACATCTGAGCATTTCCTTATCCTTAAAATAAATAAAATTAAATACTTATAATATCAAAGACAAAATGTTAACAAAATTTAAGAACATTGAGTACCGAAAAAAAATTTGGGCAGGACGGTGGGGCATTTTCTCTTTTTTACCGCATGAACAGTCTTTTACACAAGTCTAAAAGAATTGCTTTAATTTATAATAAAAAGAAATATGAAGTTACCTTTCAATAAGATCGGCTACACGTTGCTGATTTGATGGCGTCACATAAAATGGAACTTTATCGTCCATCGGCAGAAAGTTTCTCCATCATGTTTTTTTTTGTATTTCAATGTCCTATCTATAAAGCTAGTTTTGATTAATTTATTCTTGACTAGTAGAAGAACATATTATAGCTTGTTCTGTCTGCTGATGATCAGCTCCATCGTCAATTTTTGAGTTTCGAGTTTGATATACTCGCTGTTTTTGTTCTGGACATTCGTTGCTCATTTATTCTAAAGATTCCACATTTTTTTTCGAAAAAGTAGTGTTCAGTTGATAACTAATCTGTCTTTGTATCACTTTATCAGCTTCTTTCGTCTCTGAGGGAAATAATATGATTAAAAAAGATTAATTAATTTACTTGTATCTAGGGGCAGAAATTGATGTTCCATATTGATGATTAGTGCTTTTTTCTTCCACTTTTCTATTGTCCTCAATAGAGATGAATTTCCTTTTTGTAATGATTATGTTCAGCTTTGAAAACTTTCTTGATAAAACTTTGGACCTTTCCACCACAAGTCATAATCATTCAATTTTTCTTTCGAAGTACTTCCGTGATCTGCTGCTTTTGCTTCTTCTTTTGTAGTTTCGAATGATGAAACAGTTGCTGTGTCTTCTGAGTCTGGCTTGTTTGATGCAGAAGTCCGCGATTCATTTACCGTTTGTCTCACTCTCTTAACTCAATGCATTTGATATATTTTAATTGGCTTGCATGTTGACGCTCAATTTTGATATCTGATTTCTTCTTCCATTGCTATATTATCCTAAATAGAGTTAAAATTCTTTTTTGCAATCAACTTCCAAATCAGTGTGCATCAATGATTGGAGTCAGCTTTTCACCATTATTCTGAATCATTCAATTCTTTAGTTGGAGTACTTGGAAAAATCTGCTGCTTTTGCTTCTTCTCTTGCCAGAGCGTTTTTCCAGCTTAGTTTATCTTACTATGTTATGCGAAACGTTGTATTTCCTTTTTAAAGATGAACAGTTTGGAGTTGATTATTGTAGCCTTTTTTTGATTTGATTAATGTTGAAAGTTGTTTTGCTGATAGTTGTTGTCATTTAACGGGTGTGTTGATACGCTGACAGTATTGGGATTTTTTCTCATTGAATAATTTATAACCACCATTCAGTTGCTGCTGATTGAGAAAAAAATTAAAAATGGACCTAGTGATTCTCAAAATGTATGCCGCAAAATAATTTCAAAACTAAACTTTGCAAGTATGAAAATTGTTATCAGAAATGACCAAGCGAGGTCGTTATATGCTCAATAAAGCATAGTACTCGTTTTTAAACCAAATGCTTGTTGGCACAATTCCAATTCCAAATTTGTAAGTTACGATGGATATAAACGCTCCTTTTCGCTGATTGCTGCAGATTTCAATGTTTCAATTATATCAATGTCAGTTAATCTGTTAACTCGATGAGACCATAATTTCTTCATCAAAATATAGGAAGCTATGATGATTCATTACATTTATTAGAGCTCGTTCTTTTGTCATTTTCTTGTATTCTTTTTAAATGACAACTGCGTGCTTTTGGTCAAATTCTAGCGTTCTCGAATTCTCTATCTATCCACAAGAAAAATTTGCATTTAATAGGAGTTAACTTATAACTAGCTTATTTACTTACTTTCTTGTTGAAAGCACACAGAGAGTCCATTGTCGCACTCACAGTTTGTCAAAAATTGGTTCAATTTTTCCGAATACTTCTGTCAGCTAATTGATTCCCAGCATATTTGCATCGTTGTTCATACAGCTTTGCCAACTCCTTAATTTTTCGGACAATAATCACTCAAAGTCCTTCAATTGCATCAATCGTTTTCTCATCTGCAACTGTTGTATCTCAGGTTTCAGATCCATACAATTACTAATTACTTGAAAGTATTCTTCATACAAACTTCCTACTAATTACTAATTACGAAAATTAAAATATTTAAGTCCAGAACATAACAAGTAGCAAGTAAGATAATTTTACAGGCCATTTAGAGTAAATGATTATGCGAAGGGAAATTTAGAAACTATCTTTTTCCCTGCGCTAAGCATGAGTGTAAGCTTGATAAAATTAGGACCACAACTGATTGGAATTTTTTCAGAGATTGCCGTTGAAAATGTACAAAAATGGATTGTAGAAAAAAAAAGTTCCTTACCTTTTGGATTTTCATCTTAAATAAATTGGTGAGTTCCCTGAGCTTATGATTCAAGTCGAGAAGATTTTGTAGAATTTGTTGCTTTTTAACCTGCAATTTACGATATCTATAATACTTTGTCCATGTTATATCTTCGTGATATATTTATTAACTGATTTTCATATCTCATGTTTACTATGATTTTCTTTTTATACAACAGCCCATGCTTGAAGAAACAAAAGAAGCTCTTGCTCAAATTCGCAATTTACCGATGGACCAGAGTCCTGGAAATAAAAAAATATTAAAGTTGTAAAAGAATTTTGGAAAATAACTTTAAAATAGTTCGTTTAATAAGTTTGAAGTAAAATAACTAGAAAATTATGATCGAATACATTATAAGAATGAAATAATTGCAGGAAAAGTAACAACCTGTTATTAAAGTAAATTTGAAGAAGTTAAATCAACATTTTTGCAAGTTGCTGTAATTTCAAAGCATACATATAAAAGTAGATGCTAATAATGTTATGAAACATTTATAGAATTTAAAGTTTAATTTCAATAAGGGATGGTTAAAAGAGAAAGTATTCAACTTTAGAAAGAAATAAGAAATGCACAGATTCAGACATGAATTGAGGTATACAAATCACAATTGATGTATGCTTATCGAAAAGAAGCATTATACACAATTATAACCTGAATAGCTTGCAAAGTCCCTTTGAATGAAATGATAAGAATTTTGAGATACAACTACACAGAATTACGAATATCGCATATGGCAAATGGAGTAAGAAGGAAAACATGTTAAAATAGAGTCTCTACATTATTAAAATTTTAAAATGAAGACTATACACACAGAGCAAGAGTCTTTTTGAGCGACTTTCTATAATAGAGAAAAAAAAAAATCAAAGACTTACACTTTTCAATAACTAAAGGATAACAAGCAGTTTTGTATTCCAAGTCACAAATTAAGTAGAGTCATCACTAAAAGCGCTGATCCAATATCATCTTCAAATTTTATCTCAGTTCAGATTGAAACATTCTCTGGCAAATTTCAAAGATGTTTCCAATTTTCTTCATTCAGCTTCGTACATTCAGCTTCGTCCATCACTTAATCAATAAATATTCATTCCACTATATCCTGAGACTACTATAATATCATCAATTGAATTTAATTAATTTTTCGTTGAAAATAATTACTGGGTTCAAAATCAAATTTTTCAAATGCTGCTTTGATGAAGAAAATTGTATGAATAAAATAGAAAATTTGATCTTTTGATATTTGTAACAATTTCAGTGATATTTAAATGAAAAGACGTCCAGAATAATCTCGTACGTCATTTAGCTGAATACAGGCATTTAAGCGAAAGGATTTGGAATAGATCAGACAAGCAATTGAATGGCATTCCTGAAGCACTCAAGAGAAAAATGATACAGATTAAGGAACTAATTATGGTATAAAGAATTTGAGCTTGAATTAATACTTTATATATGCCAAGATGTCCTGAAAATGAAGAATTAACTGAAAGTTTAAATGTTCTTTTGTCAGACTTTAGACAAATAATTCATAAATGCATGCGTAGGTCTTGGAATTTCCTTTTGCTGGCTTTTGAACCGTTAGGATATTCGAAAAGTCTGCTTACAAGAATGATTCCTTCAGAGATAAACTCCTTTAGCACCTCTAGCATTTATATTGTCTACAGCACTTCGAAATTGCATTTCTTGTTTTCATTACAAGACTGTAAGTTATGTTGAAGTCTAATGTATGCAAAAGTCTATGAAAAGAGGCGTGGAAGTTCATTGGCCTGTGAAAATGCTGGGTTAAAATACGTAAAGCTTGACTAACGTCATCTGTCTGATGCTAAATAGTATAGGGTGGGTTAAAAGATGTTTAATAACTATTATGTCATGAACAAATGAAATGAACTTGTTGCTATTACCTTTGATGTAATGTGTTGTTCATCCGTTTATAGATATTTTTTCTATTTGATGATGGTATTGTTTAAATTCCTGAGATGGCAATGCAGAACTTGCAGATGCTTCCTGCTTAATTATTGTTTTATCTGATTCTAGTTGCTCACATCTGAGAATTCCCTAAGAAAATAAAGAGAGATGTATGAAATTATGAGAATTAATTTACTTATAAAATCAAAGACAAAATGTTAACAAATTTTAAGAACATTAAGTACCGAAATAAAATTTGGGCAGGACGGTGGGGCATTTTCTCCATTTAAATGCACAAATAATCTTTTAGACAAGTCTAAAAGATTTGTCTTGATTTAAATTAAATAATTATATCAAATTACCCTTCAAACGTATCGACTCAGCGATTCCTTCTCATCCTTTCGCACCATACTCTTGCAAAGAGATTCATGATCAGCTCATCAAAGTATGGGCAATAAACACATTCGTTACTGCTTCAGGTCATGTTGATCCAGGTCAAATTCATACTTTATCGTCGTCAGATCCATTGGAGGAAAGTTAACGTTGTCGACTATTTCAAACTTGTTGATGCGATGATCCCTCAATTCTGTAATGGATATCCATTATCCACCTGTGAAAATGCTGGGTTAAAAAATTTTTAATATTTTTTATGTCATGAACAAATGAAATGAACTTGTTGCTATTACCTTTGATGTAATTTGTTGTTCATTCGTTTATAGATATTTTTCTTTTTGATGCTGGTATTGTTTAAATCCCTGAGATGGCAATGCAGAACTTGCAGATGCTTCCTGCTTAATTATTGTTTCAGCTGATTCTAGTTGCTCACATCTGAGAATTCCCTGAGAAAATAAAGAGAGATGTATGAAATTGCGCGAATTAATTTACCTATAAAATCAAAGACAAAATGTTAACAAATTTTAAGAACATTAAGTACAGAAAAAAAATTTGGGCAGGACGGTGGGGCATTTTCTCCATTTAAATGCACAAATAATCTTTTAGACAAGTCTAAAAGATCAAGTCCTTCAAACGTATCGACTCAGCGATTCCTTCTCATCCTTTCGCACCATACTCTTGCAAAGAGATTCATGATCAGCCCATGGAAGTATGGGCAATAAACACATCCGTTACTGCTTCAGGTCATGTTGATCCAGGTCAAAATCATGCTTTATCGTCGTCAGTGCTATTGGAGGAAAGTTTACGTTGTCGAATATTTCAGACTTGTTGATGCGATGACCCCCCAAATTCTGTAATGGATATCAATTATTCGCCTGTGAAAATGCTGGGTTAAAAGATTTTTAATATCTTTTATGTCATGAACAAATGGAAGAAACTTGTTGCTATTACCTTTGATGTAATGTGTTGTTCATTCGTTTATAGATATTTTTCTTTTTGATGCTGGTATTGTTTAAATTCCTGACATGGCAATGCAGAACTTGCAGATGCTTCCTGTTTAATTATTGTTTCAGCTGATTCTAGTTTCTCACATCTGAGAATTCCCTAAGAAAATAAAGAGAGATGTGTGAAATTGTGAGAATTAATTAACTTATAAAATCAAAGACAAAATGTTATCAAATTTTAAGAACATTAA